TGGCCTAGACAACCTCCAATATCCTGCCAGCTCTATGCTTTATTTGTTATGCTTACATCACATGTCCTTCTGCTTTTTCCAAGGCGCTTAGGGCAGTGTATGTGGGATTCCTCCAGTCTACGTTTACCTTCAGAACAACCCTGTAAAATTGATTGGGCTGAGAAACAGTGGCTTCTCCAAAGTCATTCAGTAAACCTGAACTCAAGACTCTCTTGTCGAAGTCTAAAATCCCAGTCCCTGTGCTAGGCTGACTCATAGCATCCTGATCCATAAACAATAAGAAAAACAGTAAGAAAAATAAGCCCTATGAAACATGGTATGGGTCTTGAATGGGCTAGCCAGTAGATTTCAGTCAGGTGATTTGCATTAGTGTGGAGCTTGGTTCGCATTTCCTTTAGCCAACAACTTTCCCTTTTGCATGACATAGCCAAGGTGGTGTTAAGTTCCAGCTTTCTAAAGTTGGAGCCTTAAATCTCTGGGGGCCCACCTACCCTCCTGTGGTGCTGTCCAGGAGCACTTACTGAAATAAAGGTATAGGAGTCCTGATTATTTCTATTGCATCTGATTCCCCTGGATCATTCATTCATTGATTAGATTTATATGCCACTACAATAGCCCATATCTGGGCTCTCTGCATGGCTCACAATATAAGGATTACTGGCCTTTTGTCACACATGCCTCACCTCCTACTGCACCCGCTCTTGACTCTTTCTGCCCGAGCTTGAGCTCCCTGAAATGTCTCTCCCCTACCTGTATATCCCACCCAGCAAATAGGAGTAGAGACAGGACAGGATCCTTGCAAATCTGTGCTTTTAAAAAAAAATGTTCCTGTCCTGTGCACTTTTCAGCACGGGATACCACCGCTCAGTCATGGTGTTCTTCTTATCTTTCAGCCAATGTTATCCGAAGCTGTCATCTGAATCACGAAGGCTTCCCACTAGTGCTCCCAAACACCCAGCTAAGCTGCCTTGATTCTCAGTGATCTCCCCATTCATCTGGATTCATATTTTTCCCTCTTCTGACTCTGGCTGATAGTTCAGAAGCAAGTCCTTTTTGGTAGAACCAGCTACATGGCTCAAAAAGTATTCTCCACCCACAGAAGAGGAAACCCAAATAATTTTGGAAAGTGAGTTCCTTCTTCTGGAGAAGGAATTGCACCAGCCCCACTGAAAGTCAACTTTTTTTCCTCTTCCTTGTCCTTCCTCATCCCGTTTTTCTTGTGGGTTGTTCCTATTTTGACTGTAAGCCTGTGAGCAGGCATGGTTTTGTCTTATTAAGCCACTCTGCCAAAAATAGTTTTAAAAAGTAGGACAGAAACTTTAATCAATTAATTAAAATCAACTAGACAGAAATCCCTTCACCCCATTCTATAGCATTTTTATAAGTTGAGGCTATTTGGAAGGTACCATTCATAGTTCCTTTAAAATTCAAACCGAAACCTGGAGTGGATACACTACCTCACTGACACTGAAGTCACCAACTTCCATTGACTTTTTATTCAGGTATTTATCCAAATAAGCTCCAAAAGTGTCTTACAGAGATAAGAAATAAGTCACACATCCCCTCCCACAGACTTATAATCTGAAAGCCATAATGCAAAAGGAAAGGGATTTGGGAGGCGGGGGGTGGGGGGAAGCAAATCTGGGCACTAGATTTTTAGCGTAACGTTAATTATCCCTATCTCATATCCTTTTTTTTTTTTTTTTTTTTTGCTGCAGGTCTCTCACTTGGATCTCACATTTACCTGTTGCAGCAGCTGTGGCTACAGGCCTTGGGAATGCCAGATTCCTGAATTGTTGGTGGGTCTTTGCTAGGGAAGTTGGGAAGAAGAAAGAGGAGGGACACAGGGAGACTTTTGCTGATCCTACTGCTGTGGCATTTCACATGCCCCATCCTTCCAACACAGCACTGTAAAGACAAGGTTATAATCCCCATATTGCTTATGGGCAAGTGAGGAACGCATGAGAGAAAAGCAGCTTTACCTAAGATCAGCAACTGAATAACAAGATCTACAATCAAATATTCCAGCATTTTCTGAAGACAAGGTTATAATCCCCATAATGCTTATAGGCAAGTGAGGAAAGCGTGAGAGAAAAGCAGCTTTACCTAAGATCAGCAACTTAATAACAAGATCTACAATCAAATATTCCAGCATTTTCTGAAGCAACTGCTAAGACGTTCTGATCATAGAGCTGTGTGTCACATCTGTTTGGGCCCTTTGATAATTTGAACCGAGGTAGTCGTATTTGGTTGTTGAAATGAACCCACAAAGAGCCATCATCAGATGAAATGGTCCCAAGTGAAAGCTTGTGCCATAATACACAAGTCTTTACAACACAACACACTTTTGGCTGTAGTTGAACTGAAGATGCTTGAACTCACATTTTATGCTACGCTGTTTGTGGTTATGCAATTTCTGCATATTCCCTGTGAAAATCAGCAAGTTCCTGTACTTAACATTAATTCATAGGGACTATACAACTGCAGACAATGGGAAAATCAGTGCCATATTTTCTTTCCTGTGCAACAGATGGTGTATGCCTGAAAAACCATTTAAGTCTAACAGTGTGACTATTTTCATTTCTTGTTCTCCTTTTATTTGATAGAACCATACAAAAATCTTAATAGCAATAACATAGTGCTCTCAATGCCTCAGCATTGGCTGGCTTCAAACAGTGCAACAAGCCATGGTAGTTTTTTACCACTGCAGTCTGCTGTGTTGTCTGAACCTAGTTGTGGTAAGTTTGGTAAATTTGAACCCAGCTGTGGTCATTATGGTCAGTTTGGTCTTTAGAAACAATGATATGAAACAATGGTTTTATCTGTGGTTTCTCCATACCACCATGGCTTGTTGTGTTGTCTGAACTCAAGATTGTGGCTTCCAGGGTATCAACTGGTATCAAGTATTACAGAATTCCCTGGAAAGAGTGGCAACTTCAGGATCCATTCCAACCATCCAGCCACTAGAGGTTGACCAATAAATAACAAGCAGGTGACATAGGCAGGAAGTCAAGAACCTTGGAATTGAATTTCAGACACAGTGGGCTGATGGGTTACATGGCAACAGCAAGATGACTGAGCAGGGAGGATGGAAACCACAATAATGTAGGGATGACTTGATAATCAGGTAGATCATGGTAAAAGCCATGAAACATGGTCATCATGCAGGGTTCCTTTAGAATCCTCAGGTGGTGGAGTGGAACAAACTACTTCAGAATGCAGGGGGGTGTTTTATGAATTCTCTTCTCCTACTTGCACCTTTGAAAAATAATTTTCTGCATTTTTTTAAAAAGCTAACCCATAATTGAATCATTATAGCCCAGCTCATTTCTTGTTGTCTTTTCTTTCTTGTTTTTAGTTTGGAGTAGGGTGTGGTGGGAGACACTTTCAGAAATGCATGCCCCAGTTGCAGTGTGAAATGGTGCAGTCCATTCTCCCATCTCAGAAATGTACCAGCTTTCCCTGCTGCTTGTGCACATATGCAGACCTGGCTTCAGAGCAGTCTGGTTTTGCATTCTAGACTAGACCAAGGGTCTCTAACAAAGCTGCTGCAGGATCGTCTTATACCACCCATAAACTCTTTACGCCCTGCTCTGTGGAAATACATAAATAAGGAATATAAAACTTTAGAGGGCCAGGTTCTTCTTTTTGTTCCTGAAGCTGTTGCTTTTTAAATACTGGCGAATGGAAGATGCTTCTGGGCAGAGAGAAGAGAAAGGACAATGGTAAAGGTCTGTGCAGATGAAAGATTAGGCTGGCTATATACTGTTCCCTGCTTCTCAGCCTCTGGCCTGGCTATTTATCTCCCACCACACCCTCTTGACTAGCCAAGCCTGCACCATAGCCAATATGTGACTAGTTATATCTTCCATGGAAGCCATTTTGTGGAGAAACAGTTCATCCAATTCCCAGATATGCCCATGTGTCTAAACAGATTGGGGATCCCTGTTCTTGAATGTCTCATGGAGAAGGAAGGAGTCTGGAGACTGTCTTGCTGCAAACAATACCTCAGAGGCAGTCTTGTCAGTACTATTGCGACAAAGTAAAAATAAAAAACGGAAATTGCAAAATTCAAGCTTGTGTGGCTTCAGAATTACAAGATGAGACAGGCTCTAACCAGCTTAATGGAACACAATTGGGACAGACAGGCTAAACAGTGTGGTGAAAACCAGGAGAAATGGGCAAGGAGGAGAGAGAGAAAATTATGAGTCATTCCCCTAGCAGCGGCATTACTTGAATGAGTAACACAGCTAACCAGGAGAAGCTTGCATTTGGGATTGTCTGGCCCAGATCCTGAGAATGCGTTGTTGTCTCTGATAGTTGGATCTGAGTTTTCAAAGGCCTGACATCAAATTGGTTTCAAGAAGCAGTCCAGCCTCTGGGAACAAAACGGTTTCACACCATTCCCCACAAAGGTTTGGCTTCTCCCCCATGTAGCTGCCTGCATACTGAAATTACCTTTGGAGGTACATTTCTGGGTTCTCATGTCCTCCCTGGTTGGATGGGTAGCACGTGGGAAGAGAAGCTCCAGAGATGCAATATGGCACCCAGTACTGATTGAGGAATCCCAGCTTTGGAACTTTGATGTGAGGAAAACAACTTTTTGTATTCCCAGGCCTTATAAAACCTTGGATGAACTGCTATTATTCCACAGCTGTGATTTTTATGCTCTTATGGTTCTATTTTTCATTGCTTATATACATTTTAAAATTGTTTTATCTGATTTGTTAACTGCCCTGTAAGTAGTAATGCCTAGCACATATTAAAAATAAATAAAAGCATTGGCTGCATTTCTCAGTGGGACTCTGAGTTAACATGCATAGGAAACTGTGAATTAGGACACGTATATATTCTTATGGCCTGTCTGACTTGAAAATATCTTCTGTTGACAGTGGCCATTTGTTTGAAAAAATCACCTGAACTGAATTAAACTTAAATTAAATGGGGTGGCATGAAATAAAATGGCTTTCTCCAAGTAAGATTCAACACTTTTAAAGTTTCTTTAAATTATATATCATTTATTGAAATATAAAGATCTTAATTTACATGTTTTTAAAGACAAAAATAAGAACAGGGGCATTTGAATTACATTTTGTACCTATGTTCACTCATTCTAGCTTTCTTCTTCTCAAACATTTCATAATACCACCATCTTGGAAAGTCTTACGTGCTTTCTTAACCATTCTAAAATATAAATTTTGGACATTTAAAAGTGCAACAGTTAGCGTGCTTGTGGAGTATATTACAGTTTAAAAATATATAAACAAAGGCAGTGATACAGCTTGTCATGTATGTTTTGGCAGTACTCCTCAAAGTAGATATAAAAATACATATATACATATTGATGTATAACATCACCTTATCTTATGTCCCTCATTATATCATAGGACTGTTTTGTACATTTGCAGACCATATTTTAAGGAAGAGGGTCAGCCATTCAAAATGGGAAACTTGTGTTTCACAGGCAAAATTCGATTGTCATTATACAAATATGAAACAGACAGAAATTGGGTATTTCATTTCCGAAAGCTTCTCCTAACTGAGCCACAACAAAGAAAATCTGAACAAGATTATCTTCAAATAGTTACTATCATACTAAAATCCAACCTTTTTCCTTCAGACTAGTATTGAAAGAGCAACAGCACAATACTATACATGACTACTTAAAAGTAAACCCCTTTAATCTGATAGTGCTTACTCTTAGGTAAGTTGGTGTAGGATTGCAGCCATAGCCCAACAGATACTGCCTGCATTAATGTGCTGACTTCATACAATTTTCCCATTCACAGTGAGGTGCAAATGCAGGAATTATCATTGTCATAAGACTATAAATCTAAGAATTAATTCAGCCCACAACTTGAGTTTGGTCCCATTCCAGCTATAGTTACATAGTTAAAAAGGTGTTGGGCATGGCTAGCATGGCATTGAAATGGAGAAACAAAATAAATGGGCATCCCACTGATAGGATGGCAGTTATGATGGGTTGGTGTGCACTGTCATGTGGGCAATGTGATCCATGTGTAAAGCAAATCATGCACATTTTGGATTAGCACATTTGTTTTTTGAGAAGCAGGATAAATTCAACAAGAAGAAACAAAGACAAGAGTACTGCAGCTTATTCCATAGCAGCCAGTACAAAATGAATGTCTGCTCAACATGAGAATACCTGAACTATGCATACTAATGCACGAGGTACCACTTGACAAATGCATGCGCAAGTAAGACGTGTGATTTTCAACCATTGCATTAGCACATTTCTAATGAATAGGAGTTGGCTGAACAGAGACAACATCCCTGCTGGATAACTACAAAGAAAGGACTATTTGCCCAAGCAGTTGCATACCCATATTGCTTGTGTTGCATTTTGTAGATGTAAACCTCAACAGATTATTTACCACAGAGAACCCCGTGTGCACAAACCATCCACAAAGAAGTATGTAATAAGTCCCATTTATTTCAATGGGAGACAGTTGAGCACATGAAGTCAATCAGACTTTCAGGAACTTAATGCTGAAAGGATCATGTCCTATGTTTGTAAGGACCAAACTCTTCTTCATTTATTCCAATGTATGGATATCTGATGCTTCATGTTAAGTGGTAGTTAATGATTTGATATCAAATGAGTTGACTGCTGTGTAGAACTGAGTTATCACTGGCCCAGCCCAAATTATTGATTTGTATTGCATTTTTAGTCTTTTTGGGCACTCATCAACAGTGACAGTGATCTTCGAAATATCAATCACTATGGAGTTAAGCTGGTTGGGATTGCACATAATGCTAACTCTGTCTCAGTTTGTACATAATGTTAGCCATTTTATGTACTGTAGAATTCTGGGTTGTCCTGTTGTATGAATCCAGCCATGCTAACAAATCCTGAACAACCCAGAAAGACAACACATTATTTGTTTCTGGCTTGTGAAGCCTGGGTTGTTTAAATCATGGCTTGTTTTTAAGTGTGAACCTAGAACTGATGGATTGTTCTGCCAGGCTACAGAGGGTATGGGCAAGAGTAGCAGGCAGATCTATCTGCCAGTACTATTTGTGATCTAGGTTCGGAGTGGATGAAAGAGCAGGGAAACAAATAGCCAGGAGACTGAGAAAAAAGCAGACAAACTCAGGGTAGAATGACAAGCCATGGGTTTAAAAAAATCCCATGGATTAGCATTATGTGCAAACATGGTCATTGTCTCTAGAACATGTAACATTCATATGTTAGTTCCTAAAGTTGCAATCAAAATAAGCCTGTGAGTTTGTCACAGAAAGTAACATTGCTCAAAGTGACTACTACCACTGCTGAAATGCTACCATATGCTACACTTGGTGATTCTCCGCACAGGGACAGATTTATTCAAAATGCCAGGACTCAGCGCTAGCATCTGGTTTCAGTAACAGGTCTGAGTCTATGTAGTAATGAGCGGAAGTGCCCTGAGAATGTGCCATGCTCTTTTTCCTTTGTTAGAGAGTGACTTCAGTCTGTCGCATGCATATTTAGAATTAAGGAAATAGCTTTTAGAAGTCACAGCATGGTTCCCAAACAGGTTTCCACTCTGAAACTTGTCTTTATAGAAATCAAACACTGGATGTTTTATATTTTTATACTGAAAAGCATAAAATCCCTTTTGTGCACCAAACTTTCCCAGTTCTTGATTTTCATAGACTGATTCCAGTTCATGATTTCCACAGACTTACATCGTAAATGCTGCAATCTAATACTCACTTACCTGAGTATAAGACCCATTGAACAGAATGGGACTTACTTCGGAGTATACATGCATGGGATTGCACTGTGAATCATAAAACAATTTTGATACAGATACACTATCAGAAACACAAGAAGTGCAGATTAAGGAAGCATCAGTATCAATTGTTTAAAAATTGTCTAGAAGAAGAAACAGTGCAGGATTGTACACATTACAAGACAGTATTTTGCCAAGGAATGTATACACTGCTGGGAGTTACACTCAATCTTGAGTTTTTAAGTATTCACCCTGGAAAGAGTTATGCATAGAAAAGCCTTTAAAGTTGCTTTACTCTTGGTTCAGTTTCCACTGGAGTGGTTGTAAAAGACTCCCATTTGTTCCATAGAAAAACTTGAGGAGGACAATGGGATCCTGTTATATCTCTGTTAAAATGCAATGCTAAAACTAGATCATTATTATTGCTTGCAATGTGGCTATATACCTAATTGGAAATCACAGGCTCAGAAAGAAGCTTTGTCAGAAAGAGCATTTGGTGCATCAGACCAGTTAGTCGCATGTAAACCCAAACAAACTTTCAGATGTGCAGTGTACTCCATGAATGCTCCAAGCAGCCTTGCTATTGATTGATTAAACACACACGTGTGCGCACACGCACACACTTGCATTTTCACACATTCATGGTACAATAACTTGAGCAACCTGATTGTAAATGAAAGGTTAAAAATAAACTTCAGGTTTTTAAAAGTTCCACTGAATCAAAGGAGGATGCACAAGCTATCAGTCTATAATGTTAGGAAAGCTACTCCATTAAGGATGGAAAATTACATCTGGATTCCTTAGAATACATTAGCTTTTCCTACTTCCTAAAATAGTTATAATTTACCAAAATTGTTAACAGTCAAAAAGAACAGTTGTATCTTGTAAATGTTTAAACCCTGAAACGCTTTAGTCCATTAGTAACTTTTTTGTGATTTTAATGAAGGACAAGGAGTAGTTATAAACTATACTTAGTGATACTGAGAACAGTAGTAGTAAGTATTCCTCTATGGTTATAAAGAGTCTCATTTGATTTACTAAGCTATTGTATAAGGTCTGGACTTTACTATTGTTTTCTTTTGTTTGCATCATCAGTGAAAGGTTACCTAATACCAGTCCCTTGAAGTTACAAAAGTGGTTTCTTTTTTACATGTACTTCATCTCATGTGAAAGTTCAACAGCAGCTTTTAATGAGACTGAAGGAAGAAAATACGCAGAATTCTTGAGTGGTCTTCTAAAAAAGAAAAATGTCCGTTCCACAAAATATCCAGGTAAGGACAGGTATTTACACAAGTACACGGGTGATGCTTCACCATAGTGGAAATGTCATCCATCTGAGTCATGAATGCCCTTGAAACACAAACTTGACTGTCCATGGCCTTTCCCTTTATCGACCTATCTACTGAAACTGCAAACAGTACTGAGATGCTAGTGAAGGATTAATGCTTAAAAGCTGGTTTCCAAATGTCCTGTTGTTTCACAAACCAGCTGAGATCTTTAAGCCCCTTTTTGGCATTCCAAGCCTTTACTGTCTGTTTTCAAAGTGGTTTTCCTCATGGAGTGTAAAGTCCATGAGTGATATGCCAAGTCTCTCCCATTTTGTTTCATGCAACTCAAAAGATGTCCCCGGTTTCCTCCAGAGTTACAGGAAGCTGTCCTCGACCAGTTCTGAAGAATCCATTCCAATGTCATCAATGATGTCGATATCGTCAATGGTCTCATCCTCGCGCTTGACAAATGTTGAACTGCTGGAACCAGTTTCAATGGCACTCTCTTCAGATGTCTGGGAGCTGGGAAGGGAAGCCGCGGAGGAAAACAGTTAGGAAGGCTGGACTGCATGGTGAAAAATGCATGATTCAATTGTCTAAACCAAGGGGTTAGAAACACATGACCTGAAGAGTGTGTAGCACCCACCCTGCCACCAAATTTGGAGGGAAAAACGTGAATGGGAAAAAAAAATGGCATTCAGTCCACTATGGAGTACTGAAAATGTCAAGCTAAAGTTTTGGCAAGTGAAATTTGATCCTTTTAGCACTCTGGAGCACCACAGACTCTGTTTGGGAAAATACCCCATAGGGGTGATGTCCAAGAAGCAAAAATGGCTTTCACAGTAGTCCATCTTTCTATAGACTCTAGAAGCAACAGGCAACCTTCCTAGGAATTTGCTAGAAAGTTTGTATACATAATTTTAGAATTCAAAAAGGCCTTTCTTCATTTTCTAAGCTTGCAGGGCTTCTCTCAGATTTCTGATTAGCCCAGCTACATTAAACAGTGTTTACCTATGCCTGTTCCTTTTTCCAAGTTCATCTTCTGAAACTGGGTCAATGTCTGGCAGAGGGATTATGTAGCCACTGTCAGCGCTGAGTCTTTGTTCATCAAATCCACTCTCCCTGTCCTTCAGTTTGTCTTCGTTCTTGTAAGTGACTCCAATGTAAGCGTTGTCGCAGTCCACTCTCATGCGTGTGACAGCAGGGTGGTCACTCTTCAAAAAGTCCAAGTGAATTCTTTCATAACTCTGAAAATATTTATTTAGCAAAATTAGCCTCCCTTCTTAATCAGACTTAATACTCTGCCACAGTAAGATTTCTTTCTGGAATGCATGGGTTAGGGCGCCTGGGAAAAAGTCCTCCAACATAGAGAATGGGGCCACAGTGATGCCAATAGCTGTGACCACACTTGCCAATGTCATCCAGTTCCTGCACCCAAATAATATTCTGTACTCCTGCTTTGAAACCGATACATTTGAAACATGGTGCTGGAGGAGAGAAAAACAAGGAAGCAGGTCCTAGATCAAATCAAGCCAGAGCTTCCCTTAGAAGAAAAAATGACAAAACTGAGGCTGTTCTACTTGGGACACATCATGACAAGGCAAAACACCCTGGAAAAAATAACCATGCTAGGGAAAGTTGAAAGTAGGAGAAGAAAAGGAAGACAGAATATAAATTGGATTTACCCTATTGAGGAAACCACAGCCTTGAATTTGGAAGAGCTGAGGAGGACTGTCAAGGATAGGACATTTTGGAGAGCTTTCATTCACAGGTTTGCCATAAGTTGGAGATGACTTGATGGCACATAACAACAACTCCTCCTGCTTTAGTGGTATACACCAGTGACAAATTCCTATAATATGATGTATAGTCAGAATATTCTGACCCCTTCCATGGTGTCCCCTAGAGCCATATTGGAACCATGGAGTCTGGTACAGTGCAGGAACATGCTCAGAATAAGATTGGTGGGGGAAGGGGCTACAAAACAGGACCGTAAGAAATGTATGCTCTTCTTTCCATTATAATATTGTAAATAGTCTGTATGAAGAAGCTCAGCTTTATAAAGCTCAGCTTTATAAAACATTGTGATCAACTGAAAGCTACCGTTAACTCTCCCCACTTAAGATCCAAGGCTTATTAGTAGAGTTGAACAAAATCTTCTGAGATTTGGAAGCAACCTGCTTTCCAAAAGGACAAACCTTTTTGTATTCTCCAGGCAAAAGATTCTCAACTATTTCACTCAAATGGTAAAAGGAAGGTCTTTTCTCCGGTTCACTGTTCCAGCATTTCACCATGATATCATACCTGTGAAGGGTATGGGGAAGGTAGCTTAATAATCTGGGACTTAATGGTTTCATCAAGGAATTAATGACAGGCTATAAGGATGAAAACAAACATAGCAGCAAAAACAGTCACTCGCATGCATCCATCAGACAAATGTGCATAGTTATCAATTGACTCAAGGTATCAGTTTTGCTCCATTCCTACTGCTTCAGGAAAGCTGCCTGTCCTTTTTAATTCTTAGAATTGCCACAGTAACATTCATGCATTTATCTGTTCATTTGTCAGCCTGTATTTTTTTTAAGGTACCATTTCTTAAAGTGCAAAACTTTGGGGATTGTTTGGTATGGGCAGAGCTGACATTGTAGGGACCACATCAATCAGCCTTATTTACAACCAGGTTCTGCTATAAACTTGCAGAACTATTTTTTTCAGAGTTCAGTCATGGAGCACTTTAGATGCGTTTGGACTGAATGCAGTGAGGACAGCAGTCCAAGTGTTCTATATATATTAAGTCTCCCTCCTGAGTCAATGAGAAGCTGAGATATTGCAGAAGAAATACACAAAAAAGGTCACGTACACCTCACTAGTAGCATGATCCGGTTTTGCCATTCGATAGCCACTTTTAATTTTGTTATAGAATGTAGAATCCACCATCATGCCGGGGTATGGAGTGCCACCTAAAAATCAAGGGAAGCAAGATGTTAGTAAGTGTTCAAGAAGCTATTGTGCAAAACTTTTTGTCCATAAATAGCATGTGCCTGTTTCAACATATAAAGACAACATTCTAAATGCTTCCATCCCCACTGCCACCACCACCACCAAAAAGGAGCAAACAACCAAAAACCACAACTTCAACACAACAGGTTGAACCAGGATGCAACCAGATTATAATCTGGCCACATCCTTGAATGAATCACATAACTTCAATGTACACAAAATTTCTAACAAGATCATTCCCCTTCATTCCTGTGTTTGCCAACAGTTGGGAGAATCTGACTAGCTTACAGGGCTGTGTATTTTGGAGATGCTGTGTAAACACTGAAGATAATGGAAATTTTGCACTGGAGGCAGAATTCAGGTTCTTGAGATTAAAACACCCAGACTCACACAACATTCATTTTGCTGTTTTTTGGGATTGTGGCAAAGGGGGAAAGTAGAATGTTTCAGGTATTCTGTACATGGCTTCATTCTTTCTTCACTGATCTCCTAGAATGCTACTGAGAATTACATTTTCCTTGAACTACATAGAATTACTCAATCTTGCCCTCAGAGAAGGGCATATAAGGGGCATGAATCAGCAAGATACAAGAATAAAATACAGTAAAACAGGAAAAAAATGGCATTGCATTCTGTTTTTAGGGACTGGAAATACTGTTTGTCTATCTTTGCATCTCTCAGGCATCGTACTTCAGTTTGCTTGGGAAAAGCCCATCTATGCTTCCTTTTAAAAAAATGGACTACAGTTCACATTGTAAGGCTGTTACAGTGTAATTTTTAAAAAACTGGACACACCAAAGTTCAATTTCTTTTTAAACTTCAATTAGTCCTAAAATGAAAAAGTGTCTATAGAGGAAACAAATATTCTTTTATTATAGCCTAATAAATTCAGATGTATAGATGTGTGTACAAATGTGTGTACTTTATCTGACATGGATCAATCATGCATGCAAATCGTGTATCAAAGTTGTGAACTAGCCTACACATGAAATGGAAAACCAAAGTATTCAAAAATTTTAAACTGGGGAAGGCATGGAAACGCTTTGCTTGGGGCTACATGTGATTTAATCCTGGTTTGACCTTGGGTAGAGGTCCAGGTGCAGGGTTGCCAAGAGAGGCTGATTATACCGAGTTCCCTGAGGATCAGCAACAGGGTAGAAGATTTACATAACTGGTTGGTTAAGGATAAGAATCAGGATGAGTCAGGTGGTGCTTCTTGGTCATTCATTCAGGAACATGTCCTCTAACTCCATTTTTATGCCTCTGGACCCAACCTTTTTGTCAGAGCAAAACGCTTTCCAGAGGAGAAGCTTGGTTTTCTTCCTCAATTCAGTTCCCTCCAAAGATGTTAGACTATGAATCACACAATTCCCAGCCAACATACATGCTGATTAGGGATTATGGGAGTTGTAGTCCAACACTTCTAGAGGGTTCCAGGTTGCAGAAGGCTGCTCCAGGCACTTGTCAGTACAGGAACATGCTTGCAAATCTTTCATTATTTAGCTAGTTCTTACATGCCAGAATGACCAAGGTACCTACCTAGAGAAAATATTTCCCACAGAAGAATGCCATAAGACCAGACATCACTTAATGTTGTATACAGGTTGTCAAAAATGCTTTCAGGTGCCATCCATTTCACTGGAAGGAAAGTCTGAAAGAATGCAAAGAGTTAATAAGTTAAATAGCATAGATACAAAAGCAGTCATTCACCACCACTATATTTAAATTTGATTTGGAATCCATCCCAGAAACTTTGGGTAACACCACGTACATAGATAGATATACATGTTATTAACAATTACAAGTATTAAGGGCATGTCCAGATGAGGCTTTTCATGGTGTCATCACACTGCCTTTTTCACAAAGATCCCTCATTCACTCTCTGGGGTCTAGACTCCAGACAACATTGTGACCCTCCCACTTTCTTTTAGTGCTTCTCTGTATTTTCCCTTAGCACTTAAATTCTATTAAGGAGAAAAAAGACGAAGCAGTAGCACAATGCCTTCCAACTGCTAGTGCCAGGAGTTCTCATTGTAGAAGCACCCTCAGTCTGCAACTGCATGTCATACCACATCCTGCTGGAATGCTATTTCTCCAAGATAATAAACAGTGGTTCTGAGGGGTCTGTCGGTACCTTTATTACTCTCAGGTGCAGTTTATCAAGCCTGGAGATTTGAACTCGTTTAAAGTAATGAAGTGTTCCTTGACTATTTGCCTATCAATCTCAAGCTGTGATCCTGTGCCTTTGGCTTGTACTCCTTTGCCAGAGAGATCATAGACCCTCTTTTGGAAGAAGACTGAACCAAAGTAGGAACTGAGCACTTCTGCCTTTTCTATGTAATCTGTTATTTTGCCATTCTGATTGAGTCATTTAATCACTGCTTCTTTCCTCTGTCTTCTGCTATTCAAGGTTATCAACTTCCACTCAAGTAGCATTGTTTACTCTGCATAAAAGCTAATCCAGAAATAATGTGATAAAATGATTTTACAAGTATTGCCCAGTTGCATTGAGAGAAACCTTGTTTGAGCCAGACACCTAACTGAATCAATGGCTCATTATGTCATAATAAATGTGCTAAATTACTAAGCAAACCTTATCCAGTGCAAAACTCTGCACAGCAAATATAACTACAGTGATGCATGAAAGGTTTTTTTCATGCCACTTGTAATTGGGATTAATAAGGTGGGGAGTGACTGGAGAGAGAGTCTTGAAAATTGCTGGGCTGAGCTTCTGATATTTGCTTTTCATCTAAATGTCAGTTTATTTCACCCCAAAGTTCTGTATGCAAAATACAATGCTTGTATTTACAAGTTTGATTTTGTAGGCTAGGCTAAAGCTGAAACCCTATGGTTCTTAAAGAATGTCTGAGGGGCCCTGGTCCTTTTTGGCTGTCATTCTTGAGGATGGAGAGCAAGATCTCACCCTGAAAACTTTCACCATGAGGCTGTGGAAAGGTCTGGCATTAGTAGTTCCCCAAGTCAGAAAGGGTAGAAAGGAGGTAGGCCAGGAAAGGCTGTGGAACTACAGGATTTATAGCTCTCCTGATCCTGTAAGAAGTTCCCTGGATAAACTGTGTGAGCCCTGAAGGTGGAGTTTCCTCCAACTGGAAAAAACCACCAGAAAGGATTCCAAAATGGGGGTGGGAGAGGAAAGATGCCCCGACCTTCTGCCCTGTCAGTGCAGTCATAAGAAGAAGTGGCTCCTCTGCCTCAGATTGTCCCTCCCACACCATAGGATCACTCTTTCTGCTCAGGAAATGCATAGGGAAAAAAGTACATACGCTGCCTTTGGATACGTAATTTGAATCATGCATAATGTCTCGAGCCAGGCCAAAGTCACAGATCTTCACAATCTTTCCTTGAGCCAAGAGGACGTTTCGCGCTGCCAAATCACGGTGCACACACTGCAGAATATATAAATGTCCTCAATCATACTAATGATAACAATACGCCCTTGTCATACAATGGAGAGTATCAGGGATTAAATTTAGGGATTTAAGGTCCTTGCCGCTATTGCTCCACATCTCATTTGGAACCATGGTTGTGACTCTTGGCTATCCATGCAAGCCTATATACGGAATAAAACCCATGCTGGATGCACTCTGCACATGCACTTCTGCCACTATTAAGTCTTCACTGTCCCGCCCACTCTGAGCTGCACAGGGCTGCTCAAAAATGGCACCTTTCCCCCCGAAGAATGCAGACCAAGCAAAGCTGTATCTTCTGTCCCATGTCTTTGTCACATGCTGACCAACTTGACTTCCTTCTTCAACCACCTTAAAAACCTTTTCTTGACCCTTCCTCCCAGAACCACCTTAAAGGCCCTCCCACTGCTCTTTCTTTCCTTCCTACCACCCATGTCAGTGAAACCATAAACACTGTTGATTGCTGCAGGCAGAAATGGAGAATGGGCAAGAGGACGGATGAATGCAGTGGGAGCACTTCAGTGGAAATGTATAGAATTGCATTGTTAGACACTCACATTTTTAGAAGCTAAGAACTCCATTCCTCGCGCAACTTGGTAAGTGAAGCTCAGGAGGTCCATCAAACTGAGGCCTTCTGAATTCTCATCAGAAATGAGGTTCTTCACATCTGGCTCTGTGGAAAGGAGGAAAAGGAATGAAGCATCTGCAATAGGAGGCTTCTACAAAGGCAACAGTTTGCTTGTTTATTTCTACTTTATTTATAAAACTCTACCCAATAGTCCCAAATGTCATCAATCTGAAATATGAGTAGGTATACATATCAGTGGGAGATGGGGTTTTTGCCCATGATTATTGAAAAGGTGACCAGACCTATTTGCAAAAAAAGAGTTTGTAATTTCAAATGGTATCAGGAGTAAACAAATGCTGTTAATTTCTTACACTGCTGCTGCTGTTTTCCCTATATCAGTGGCCATTCCTCCCTGCAATGGCCACTCCTCCCTGCTTTTTAAGACACTGGGTTGATAGATTTACAAGAGTCCAGCCCACTCTAGTGCCCTACAGATGTGTTGGACTGCAGGCTGGGGAAGCCTGCTTTAGAACATGTCCTTTCAAAACAATTCTTCAAAACTAGTGTCTCCCTCAACATTTTGCATCAATCAGTGATAGACAGTGTCCCTTAAAAAAATTGTAGTACTATGTATAGCTTTTATTTCTCCTGTGATTATAGCCCTTTTTCAAGAAATTGTAGGATTAAAGAAGTACCACCTACATATTATACAGCTTGTTTTTGCTTTATTCCAGTTGTGGTTTAAACCCAAAGTAATAATTCAGAGATGGCATCATCTCATTCTCTCTCTTTCTCACTCTCTCTGTGTAGACACACATACTTTTGTGCCTTTTAGCTTCACTGGGAACATTTTAGTAAATATTCATTGAAGGCCATTCAACTCCACTAAAGTACTAATGATTCTGTGGCAGTAATTCTCATGATTTTGTTCTGGAAAATATCAGAGGCGGTATTTTCCACAACAAAAATCTGAGAATGAAATCTGAGTTATGCAGTCATCCTGTTGGCTTAGCAAAAATGGGTGGACCAGCCTCAATGATGAAGTCTGCCTCTGGAAAAGACTCAGGTTCTGGGATCAAAAGCAAGTGGTCAAAGTCTGTTTTGAAAGCCATGGATCGGATTACTCTCTAAAGGGACTGCAAAAGGGATGAGTTAGCTGTATGGTGCTTCTCTAACCTTCAATTTGGTGATCTACAAATCACTTGGGAGTGTTCTGTGTGGAGATGTTAGCTGCTGGCTAGGAATCCTGCAAAAAGGCACAGTCAAAATGCTGCTAGATACGGGAAGGTAATGAAAGCACCAGTGCCACGTATGACACTGGGGGCGCTTCCAGATGGAGGGTGCCTGGCACTAACAGTCAAGAGCCATTCTACAGCTACTCCATCTTTTCCTCCTTAATGGTTCTTTTCTGGTTAAAAAAAGGATGGAAGAGGTGGTGGGAGAACATGGGAGGGCCATAAATTGAAGCCTTCATCATCTGGACTTTCTGTAAAGTTTTGTGAATGGGGCACTATGGTGGCACAAGGCAAGCTTTGTCTGGAAACGCCTGGCTCTCACTAGGCATTATACCACTGACTAGCTCTGTTCTCACATGTAAATGTCACCACTGTCATGTGGGGAAGGGGAAGAGGAAGGAAACGTTTCCTTTCACTCCAAGGGTTGTTCTGAATCCCGGCATTCTTTTAACTTACAGATATTCATTGATGTTCTGTCCTTGGATATAGAGGCTCTGTTGTTTTACATGGGGCTCCCCTACTTAACACACAGAAAGGAAGAGCCCTGGCTGTGCAGATTCGGCACAGACTGCAGTAGGCAACCATTATACCTGATGCAATTCTACCTCCTGATCCTGGGCAACTTTTAAAGGGACAGAAGCTTGCTTAAAGTCTGGACCTGGCAAAACTATGCATTGCTTCTGCGTTTTTAGCTTGTTTAAATGCTGCCTGTTATATTTTAAATGTCCCTAAGACAGCAGCATTTGTTGCAACCTAGTCCTAAGTTACTGCTAAAGACCAACTCTCTACTGTCATCGGAGGCCTTGCAACACTCAGTCCAAAGTTTGTTGAGAGTATTACCATTCTTTTATTGTGCAAAGGTGTGTGTTTCTTCCCATTCTCATTTCATTTATTCTTCAAGGTGGTGACTTGCCCCAAAACCACTGAAGGCAGTTGTCACAGCTACACTGGGTTTTATTTTGAAATAGTGTAGAATATCCCTTGCCCGTTGGGAGGTAGCTGTAGCTGAGAACAGTGTTGTAAACCTTCAAAAATCAGTTAAGCGATGGGACATACGGACATTGCTCCATGACTACTTGGGGAAATAAGAAAGGTTGCTTGTGGGCAAAATGGTCTTGAGAGCGTTTGACTCAAAGGCGACTACATTACTCATAGCAAGGCCTGAGAAAACTAGGGCTTATCTTTATGAAGCATATGACCTACTTTCCAGCTGCTCCTGTTTTCTTTCTGGCTGGTTTAGAACGTCCTTCACAGGATATTTTTTTTCCTCCTGATGGGTTTCCTCTTAGACTTTCTATATGTTCCTATAGGTTCCATTACGCAACAGAATGTGGTGCTTTGATATAGAGCCAAATCATGAAAAGGCACTATGAATAATAAACTATAGAGTGTCTAGGAGCATGCCAGACTTGGCTTGTTCTAGAAAAACCTAAGGAAATGGCTGGAAAGCTTGGGAGAGGACCTGGAGGGTGACAACATTGAGAAAATATCCTACAAATTTCCATGAGTGAGAGATCACAAGTGCACCATAAATGCCTTATATAGAGAAGCCCCCAGAACAATAACTTTCAATCATGAATGTTTCCAAAAGGAGCAAATGGTGTAGCTGTTGGGGCCAAACAAGTTGTGATGGAGAAGATCTACACTCAGATGTTCCAACTTATTTTCAGAACTTAAAAGTCATGGGAAAGAGGGTGACTTGGGTTATGGCCAGTACATTAGCTCTCTGACTTTTCATCTTCTTCAAGGTCATTAGCAACCTCAAAGGCAGAAAAATGGTGTTAGGAAAAGGTTAACACCCTCTCCAGCATTGCAGCACTAATCAAAATACTGCAGCTTGAAAAACACATTGAAAAATCTCTCACAAGATATCAGATTAGTCAATCGGTAGAAGAATATATTCAAAATGTGTTAACCTAACATTCCAAGATGCATATCTGCATACACCTGAACTTACCCCACACCGATTTTTTCTTATATGAGGCAGGCCGATCATACAAAGACCTTTGGATGTCAGAATATTTTGACCTGTCTTTCCTTTCCAGCATTGGCACATACTGAGTTGTCTCTGCTTGCTTCATATCCATATATTCACCATTGTTTTCAAAGGACAGGATTACATAGCTGGAAAAGTAGCACAACAGCATCATAAATAACTCAATGCATAGTGGGATTTACAGCACGGCTATGCCATGCTCTTGTCTGCATCGTACAAATACTTATAGTCTGATGTTTTCCCACAGACATCAAAATAAAGTTTTGGCAGCCCGATGCCTATGCCATGCATGCCTTTCTGCCCTTCTTTATGAATCTTTTGGAATAGTAAGAATCAACTGAGTAGCTCCATACTAATGCAGCTACACTGCTGTCAGCTCTTAGCATGAGACTGCATCCAATAGGTAGCATTTCACGACAAATCCCTACAAGTTATCTTGCATGCATGCATGTAATACAGGTACAAGGCTAGTAGGCAAATCTTCAGCTGCTGTATGAGCCAAGTGTCTTCCTGGATAAGCCCAGCTGATGCATCTGCCATGCAAAGCAGCCAATCTAACACTGGTTCAGGCAATACACGGTCCTTCCAGTTATGCTTCAGTCAAAGTGCTACCAGTCCTTCCTTTATTTTCAGAAGTATTAATGAAAATGCTTCATTGTTCATTCAGTGATTCATTCCTGCATCACCTTATTAATTTTAAAGTATACTTTTCAAAGTGCAAAACTACTCAGGGAATTTGGAGGGTGGGGGCTACTGATGGTCAATTTGCCCCATGCACAACTGGCATCAGGGCTCACTGAGGCTTGCTGGGCATTGCAGGCCTCTTTTCCTGTCTAAACATGCATAGGATTATGTCTTGAATGATTTTAAAAATAAATCCTACCTCCTAGTACTTTCATCAGCTGAATTCATCCCAAAGATGTCCAGATCCTTCTTGGACTTTTCAGGATGTCCAGTCAGAAAATTGTCCCTATTTTTATGCAGGTAGTTCACCAAGTCCCCATGAAAACAGTACTCTGTTATGATGTAAATTGGACCTGGTGAGGGGAAGAAAAAAGGAAAAACAACACTTAGCATCTCTACAAGGTTATCTCCAGAAAAGGATAAAGTCAGGCCTAAGACCAGCAAGGAACTCATGATTCAATTGCTCTACACAGAAACATCAAGCTCATGAGCGGGCATCCAGTCCAGATGGGCTGGAACCACGAATATGTCTCTGAAAGGCCTGCAGTAGATTGGCAAAGATTTCTGACACTCCACTGTCTAATAAGACCAACAGTTAGTCTGTTTCTCTGAGTGTTGAAATGAAGAATATTGGGGTGCAGGGAGTGACTAGGAATGTGCAAACAGACTTAAAGTTCCTTTCTGATCATAGAAACTAATTCCTGGACTGCTGGACATGTGCCCAGAGTGCCCTTTAGGTTTCTTTAACTGTGAAGGGATGGTACTGTGCACTGAAAAAAATTAGGGTTCAGGCCCACAGGGCAATCCTGCCCCCTTTTTTGCTAATTTACATAGGAGCTAAAATCACTCTCCTTTCCACGTGTGAGTGTAGGTCTCCTAAGGACACCCCATGTGTAAAAAGAGATGTAAGGATGGGGGAAAGGAAGGCATTGATTTAAAATAAAAACTCCTCTCAAGCAGAAAGTTTTAAGGGCAGATGTAAAAACCCAGCTAATTCAGTGAGCTTGGAAGGAAAAGAGGGTCCCTGCACCTTCATTTCAGCAAGTTCCCATGCATGGCAGGGTGGTGGGACAGATGGCTGCCCAGAGATTTGGGGCTCCAACTGAGAGAATCAGGCTTCCAGTACTAGTGGGCCACTCCTGACACAAGCTCTGGTCTGCCCCAGTGAGCCACAGGGCCTGCACTTGGCTCCAGCTGGTGGATCTCAGTGCAGTTAGGTAACTAATCCTAGACCCTGGAATTTAGCCTATTACGGGCACCCCTTATGTATTATGTTAGCTGTGCAGCATACAACTTACATTTCTCTCCCCCAACACATTACACCTTCATTTATATTGACATTATTTAAAAAGCAGCCACAGATACTTGCCAACATTGGTCAAACAAAACACTGCAGAAATACTTTGAACATGTGCACTTTTGCTTTTTAAACTCTCTTAAACCACAATACCATCATGCCCATAGAAAATAATGGAGTTTGCGTCTGCTGTCCTGATGCTAAATTTATTTGGGGAAAAGCACCATTTTGCTGTGGAAAAGTATAATTCATATTTAAAGGGGAAACAATAACTTAAGCAACTGAAATCATGTGGATGATTGCACGTCAGATTAAAACGTTTTTTTAAATTAAAAAAGGATGCTACGTTGAGCAAAATCAATGCTACAGGATCCCAAGAGGCTAACGCCAACCTAGATACTAACGCAGGGCCTGTTCGCTGTGGTGGATGCTCCGGTCATCTGCCATTCCTGGGTAGTCATTTGTTCCCCATGCCCCTAGACCTTGGCCCAGACCTAACAGCACAACTGATCTAGTAGCAAACAATAGAAAGGCGACTCCATGAGACATCCTTGCCCAAGAAGATCAGAGACAAGACAACGGATGGAAGGCTTCTTATGAACCACCTTTTCAAGATAAACCCAGCCACTGAGGGTCCTAACCTGAGACTGTCCAAATGCTGGCATCAAGAATTACATTTTGATTCATCTCCAGTCATGGCTGGGGACTTCACTGCCCCCCCTACCCCCATCACCAACAAGCCCTACCCTGAAGAGGTATTTGGCATTCTGGACCAGGCCTTCACAATTTGCTAACCCATCAGCCATGAATTGTAACCTGCCAGACACTTGACAGTCTTCTTGGGTTTTGAGCTCCTCCTTCCTGGCCGTCCATCCATAGTTAACTGGGCTGTGTTTTGGTTTGGTGCATCACAGATGGTACAGGCATAGAATCCAGACAAAACGATGGCTACAGCAAGCAGATATTTACATGATGTGGACAAAAAATATAGTATAATTATGGTATAATGTATCTCAAAAGCCATCTAGCTGAATAGCCACCTTTTGATCTAGAAAATTATAGTCTGTCTGCTTGCCTGAATACTAGGTCAGTGGCACCAAGCAAATAGGACACTGTGGAGTTGTGCATTTCCTCTTGTCAGGGGGCAAAGAAGGACTGCTAAGCAAACCTACCTGATTTTGTACAGGCTCCTAACAGGTTGACGATGTTCAAGTGTGGACCGAGATGGGTCATTATCTTTAATTCAGACATAAGTGCCTGCTTCTCACTGGATCTTGCAGTGGCTGTTGGAAAATTAAGTGTAACAGCTAATTGTAGTTACATACTCACAATAATGAATATTAAGAGATTGCATCATCCCATGGTGACATCTATTTCTTCCTTGTAACAGGTTTTTATGGGGGTAGGGAAAGGGTACAAGGGGAAAAAATTAACAGAAGCTGATGTTCACTAATTTATCATTAAAATTTATTAAGGTTTATTTAATATGTTTGCTTTTAGTCTCCAATTATTGTTGGTTTTTAACATCTTATAAAGCACCAAGAGCCTATGGGAATGGGATGGTATATTAAAAAATAAAATCAAGATGCATACAAACTACATAAGAGGAAGGAGACATGCCTTGTATAACTAATAAACAATTACAGTACTTATATGGTGGATTTTCATTTTAAATTCTTCTACGTGGGTCATTCTCTGAATCAGAGTGTATGATCATGAGTCTAATTTCAGATGAACAAGTTCAAATCTAGTTTATCTTAATTAGCACCATGTTTAATGGCAACATTATATTTTATCATTACAAATTTTCCCTGTTTTGCTACCATCTGAGTAAAGTCTATTAAATTGTAAGCTGCTAACATCTTTCAAACCTTGAAGAAACTCAGATCATGCTAAATGCTAATTTAATTTTCCTTTCCACTTCTTCCTCAACAACAATGCACAACACATGCAATTGTTTATTTCTAAGATTCACTGATAAAAATATGTGGACAGAAAACAATCCGGATGATTTAATATTACATTTTTAATGACCTTTTCGAATTCTGATGCAAACGAATATGATCCCCAGTTCTTGGACTAAAGTATCATTATGAATTTAATGAACCTTCAGAATGAGCATTTCTCTGAATTGTGTGGAGCAATCCTCAATCAAGGGGGGGAAAGTGCTGAGATTGTATGCTAAACTATGCTAAACAGGAAAAAGACTGATCTGTGTGCTATACTGAAAAATCAATATGGGGAAAAACGACAGATTTAAGAGGTGATTTGTTCTGATAACAACTTTGTTTACATCTGGGGTGAGAGAACTTGGAGCTGGAGAGCCAAAGTTCCTTTGGACCAGCTTTTGGGGGCCACATTCCAAAGAAGGGTGGTGCCAAAGCGTAAAAAATACACCCCCCCCAGTATATTATAGGTTAATAAAGTATGTTACACATACTGTATATATTAAATATACTATACTTGTTTCTGCTTGTAATAAATCCTTAGCAGAGTCATTTTAATCTATTAGAATGAGGGAAAAAAACCACAAAAGAAGGGAGCCACAAAATGATTGGTGTCTGGCGGGATATGGGAAGTGAGTAAAGCCATTCAGGGAACTATGGAGCGTAAGAGTCGGCCCCTAACAGGGTCAGATTTGGCTCTTGGCTTGAGGTTCCCCATCACTGGCATCTTGGTGGAATCAAGACTATCAAGAATGAAAACCCCGTTGTGGGCAATATATCGTACCAATCAGTGTCACTTTCCAGTTCTAATTCAGCCATTCTAATGATTTGCCACCATAGCAATGTTGTAGATCAGCTGGAACCTAGAAAACACTTACGTTTCAACATTTTTACAGCCACCTTCATCACTGGCTGTGACCGGCTTAATCCATATGCAGTTCCCTCAACTACTTTCCCAAAAGCTCCGGAACCAAGGATTCGTCCTGCAAATGACAGAGGGATGCTGTTAACTGAGATACAATCTCATATCATTCTGGCTGCACTGACATACATTTTAGGCCATGCTGGAGGGTGGTCAGAATTTGAACTGTCATTGTTTATCCTAATTAAAACCTATTTTTTTAAATATATGGAGGTTTTATTCATTGTTTATTCTTTTCATTCATTTTATGCTTTTAATGTATTACGTGCAGCTCAGAGACCCTGGGTCACTGGACACTTTAAAAGTCCAATTGTTCAACTGATAAAATAAAATAAAATGATGAAATAAAATAAAATACTCCATTGCCCATTGAAAGGTAATTCCTCCAGTGAAATAAATAGGAAAAGCCTGCTCAGGGGTGGCATTCTGCACTTGTCAATGTTTCTTTTCACCATTGGTTGGACTATCCATCTGCTTTCCACAGTACGCTTACTTCAGGGTAATTCCACTGAGGTTATTATGTTTTCAGGCCTAGACAACCATTTCAGTGTATCAAATGAAGCTTGCCTTAACTCCAATCATGTAATTTTGGATTACATTTCCCAGCAGTCCTGACCATTGGCTATAGTGTGTGGAGCTGATGACAGCCAAAACAGTTAGAAGGAAGACTGCAGGTTAGGGAAGAATGCATTAAACAGTTTGCTTAAACTGGGCTGCATTTGCATCCCCTTGAGGCCATGCTCCAGGTGATTGATTTACTAGGGATATGGAAAGGCCAGTGGAGGGTGGTAAATATTGGACTTGGGAGAGTTAGAGAGTAGGTTAAGGGGTCCACATTACTCTGAGCCTTTTCCAGATGCTCCAAGTGTGTACAATGAATCCCCAGGGGGCAGCATCAAAGAAGCGCACACTGAACATTCATTAGAGCACTCTTTGAACACCTGAAAAATCTATGTTGTGATGCTTTGTTGTTGTTTTGTGCCATCAAGTTTTCTTCCATTTATGGTGACCTTATGAAAGAAAGCACTCCAAAATGTCTTGTCCCTGATGGCTCCATTCAGCTTTCCCAAGTTCAAGGCTGTGGCTTCCTTTATGAATTAAATCTGTCTTATATCTGGTCTTTCCTTAAGTTTACTGCATTCAACTTTCCCTAACATGATTGTCTTCTCCAGTGAGTCTTGCCTTCTTAGGATGTTTCCGAAGCATGACAGCCTCAATTTGTCATTTTTGCTTCTAGGGAAAGGTCTGGCTTGATTTGATCTAGGACCCACTTGCTTGTCTTTCCATCAGTTCGGGGTATTTGCAAAGCTCTCCTCCAGCACCGTGCTTCACACACATCAATTTTTTCTGCTTTCTTCACTGTCCAGCTTTCACACTCATACACTGTGATTGGGAATACAATAGTGTGGATGGTTTTGACCTAGTTAGCTAATGAAACATCCTTGATTATGTTTTTTAGTTCCTTCATTGCTGCCTTTCCAAATCTTAGTCTTCTTTGAATGTCTTGGCTGCAGTCTCCCTTTGAACTGATGACTGAGCCGATGTATGTGAAATCTTTCACAATTCTGATTTCTTCATTATTAACTGTTAAGATCTGTAATCCTTCTGTGGACACAAATTTTGTTTTCTTACAGTGAACGGATCCTATTTTTCTCAACAGCTTTACAAATAAAAGAACAAAAAGTCATCACTATCTCAGCTTGAAGAAAATGTGTCCTGAGCATGAGTGAATGCATGTGGGGAGGAAATCTTCTCAAGTTCAGTAGACAAAGGAGTTTCAGAGACAGGCTTTTATTGTATTTCCCAAAAGTCACTGATGTAACAGTTTTTATACCCATATTGCTCCATTGCCCTTAAATTAGGTTTGTTTTTGTTTATTTATGTGTGGAATTTTACAACAAAGGATATTGTGATAACCTGTACCCAGTGGTCATAGAAACTGGCACTGTGCAATAGGACTGCAACCTGAGCTACACAAATTAGCCATAGAAAGCTCCACAGACATGCACATGACATTCTCTGTTTAGCAAAAACTAACCCAAAACAGGGTATTTGCTTACTCTGTCTTCTGTTAAAAGCACCATGCGCTGATAAGAATTCTGTGCTAATTTAGAAGGAAGCAGTAAATTTAGAAGAACAAAGAGAGTCTCCAGGCTGAGATCTAAAATTCTGCTTCTTAGTGTAGTCTTTAAAAAGTTTCTATTTGCTAAATGCTTATAGAGTGGAAGAACACACTGGACTTTTAAATCCCAACCTGGCTCCTTCTTGTGCATCTAACGTATGAACAAATGTGCACGTTTTTATGGTATGGAGCTCAAAGTCTACTAGCAGCTGTAGATCAAGCCAAGAGAGCTTTGGCTATTGGGCAGTACAGAAATATAATTCATAATGCTAATACTAATAATAAAGGGTCAAGTGTAGGATTTTGGTTCAGACTCTGACAAATCTGGAACTAAGGAAATCTCCATGGTTGAAGATGCAGTTGCATTGCCTGCCAACCACAGAATGTTGGCTCCAGAAACTAAGGGTAAATCTAGTCTATACATTTGTATTTTATTTATGTAGTATTCCAGCTGTATCCCACTATTGATCCTCTTGCAAGGAACCCAAGGCAGACTACACGGTCATTCTTTTCTCCATTTTCTCCTCACTACCCTGTGAGGTAGGTTAGACTGCAAATCAGTGATTGGGCCAAAGCCATGCAGTGAGTTTCATGGCCGCCAAGTGGGGACTAGGACCCAAACATCTGCACTCCCCATCCAACACTAACCACTATACCACACTTTACCATTTTTAATCCTATATTCCTTTGATGTCAACTTTAGGAGCTGGCATTCTGAAACAAAGCCATCCCAGAGTTATTTAGCTGAAACGATAAAAGTGAAATCACAGTGGTTTATATTTGCAGTGAAGAGCTGCCATGGCAGTTTCTACAGAGCCCTAACAGCTTTCGTTTGTAAGGTTACATCTCTAGACCTCATGGTTGCAAAGCAAGCATGGATGACTGTTTGGTCCCCGTGGGCCAAAATATGTGTGGCAGGTTTGGACCACCCCAAATGCGCACATCCTCTCTCCTCCCCTGCCCTGTGTCAGCACCAGGCACAGGGAGAAATAAGTGGGGAAGGAGACACACAAGGTAAATTTCCCTCTCAACAGGAATCTGATTCTGCCGGGGAACTGGTGACTCCCCTTGTGTGCCCCTTTTTCCAGCTTTCTCCTGAACTGTGCTTCTATATGGGACAAGTGAGGAGAGTGACAGTGCCTCTTTCCCAATTGCAGCAGTTGCAGACTGTGTGAGTGGAACTGGGGGCAACTGGGAGGCGAGTTACACATGCAGGCTTCAAGGCCCAAATGCAGCCTCACTGTGGCCCATGCCTCTGACAGAGAAACTTCTAGAAGCATAGAGTCAGGGTTTTTGTTTTGTTTTTTCTGAAAAGAAACAGTGGGTCCATCTTTTTCACTTACCATTGGTTACAGGCCTCAGTAGGCTATACTTATTGTGCCTCCTGCATCTAAACACTTCTCTCTTTTCTTTTTTGGTGTCCTAGCATGACTTCTCCACACCAGTCCTGCTATTTTTTAGCCAGGTCAGGTCATGGACATTAAACATACACAATTCATTGCCTCCCAGCCCCTTCCCATTCTACAATGCGATCCCAGGAGAGGCATGGCCTAATGTTTCTCCCATTTAAGTGCCTCCTTGGCTTTAATGCAAGCCCAATTGAGTCATGGCCATGAAAAGGCCATGAGGAAGTTCTCACAGTTCATTTGCCAAAGAAAACTTTGTGCTGGTTTCTTGTGCTGTAACCAGGATGAAGAAAGCTTCCTATGAACACTTCAAGCCCACGCCAACACATTGCGCTTAAACCAAAAGCCCTGACAGCCTTCTGTGACAGAAGATCTGTGGCCCACATGGCAGGATGCAGCCCCTCTATTTAGCCATCATGCAGTGCCTGTTTCACTCAGTGACAAGGATGTATGCAGTCAACATGACAAATACTTCCTATTCTGCCCACACCTTCCTTTAAATATCTGCAGAGAAGAGAGGGGGAACTTCCTGGATGCCAGCCATTGATCTTCAGGTGCTCTATTTGCCCTGCTTTTGGATAAAAGACTTGTTTACCATTGAATGGCTGGGATCAGATGAGACCTCACAGCTTTTTTTCAGTGGTTGTGGCTAAACAATATGAGGGGAAAGGACTCTCCATGTTATCACAGGCGGCCTTTTATGATTAGTTTATCACAGAGGCACAGGGCTTCTTTCGGAGGACTGAATTCCACTTCAGATAAGCCCTTGGGAGCTGTATTCCTGTGGAGGTTGAGACTGGAAACAAAAGGGAGCTAGCCTAAAATACCACCATATTTTAGTTTAAAGCTCTTAATGCTATTCAGGATAGGCAGAATTGAAGCAAGGGGACACTCTGCACAAGCCAAGAAACTAAGGAATGTTTGGGAGTAGGAGGGAAAGGGATGGGGCCACCTGGCAAAAGCTACAGGGTTGGATTTGGTCACTGGGCCTGAGGCCCTGACTGTTGCTTTACATCTTCCAGGGCTTTGATCTGCCAAGGCTCTGTTGCTCTGCTTCCTTGACATTGCAAGAGAAAGAAAAGCAGAAAAGGCCATACTAATGCAGGAGCTTCTCTTCGCTCAGTTTCCTGTGTTTCAGCTGCAGAACAAGCCAGCGGTTGAAGAAAATGGACAGGCTGAAACAACTGGATTAGTTTGAGGTTGCAGTGAAGGATCATGTGAAGAAGCTTCAGTTGTGGTTCCATACAGATGTTTGCCATGGCTTTAGCTCTCCTTTAAAACGAGCTGAGTGAGAACGACACTTTCTTTCAGCAGAGATGGAAGTGAGGCTCCCTTCTTATATTCTAGGGGTGGTGTGACTCCCTACCACATTAATGTGCATAATGAAAGATGTTCAGGTTATTTGGTAATTCTTCCCTACTCTGTAGCTGTGTGAAATCTGGAGCAGCCTATCCCCTATCAACCAGTTTAGTATAGGCAAGAAAGTTTGTCCGCAGGGAAGCATTTAAGTATGCATGCAACTTCTAACAAAATACTGCCATTTTGAGTAGTATGTCAACCTGTCTGAGATGTATTCATTCCATTCTCCTTCTTTTCCATCTCACCCCACCCCTGGCCTAAAGTTAGCCATTGCTCTGGTTATTAACTAGGCTCTGGTTCTTACCAGCCCAAACCTGTGCATGGGTGGGTCAATTTTAGCTATGCAAGGATCTGCCACACTCAGAAAACATATTCATTATTATGATATGGAAGCTATCTGAAGCAGTAGGGGCCAGACTACTATCTCATTTTCACATGATGTCTAGAAGGGGAGCTAAATTAAACAGCTTTGTCATTACATGCAACTGAATTTTCTGTGTTTGGGACTTTAATTCCAGAGTGTGTTTAACTCTAGAGCAAACACCACAGAGGTCTCATCTCAGTTGGGACTGTGGTGCTTCAGAAAAGGGGGTTCAAGTGTCCTCATTCTGCCATTTTTGTCCAGAAATCACCTCACGTGCTGAAAAACGGATGCCTCCATTGACTCCAATATTTTTTTAAACCTGCTTTCTACCCCATGTGCTGCTGGAATTACAGGACAAACATTTCAGAGTAGGAGAAGCTTAACCTCCCCCTTCTGCAATGCTATGATTCTGATCTTACTTGGAGCTTCATGCATTTACTCTGGAACAATGCATTTACACATAACTATGCTTGATGACAAAACTGTGTTATTCGACCCGCAGTCTTATGTAACTGCTGATGTGCCACTCCTTCACACATTGCAGGGCCATGCAAGAGGAATCTAGTCCCTCTCATCACACCAGCATTAACTCTTGAGAAAACTTGGTTAATCGGCAATTGGAAACTGATGTTGCATGGGCTCCTCCCATGACATCTGAGGGTCTAGTGACATGTCAGCTGTGTAGCAAAGAGTGGAGCTCCCACACTATCACAAAAACAGGAATACTGGGCCTTAATTTAGAGTCATGGCCCAAGGAATAAACTCCACAGCACACATCTAGCACAATGAGCAAGATTTCCCGGTTATGCATATAATACCAGTAACAATATTAACACAAAATGAATGGTAATTTAAACCATTCTGTTTTGTGATGCTTACCCAGTACTAATCCATCTCTAGGAAATTCCCATCTTGAGTCATAGGGCAGTTGCATGGGATCGACATATATATATTCATGGCCATCAGGGCTGATGGACTCAATGACTCTCCATCTTATTTCGTATCTTGGTTTCTGTAGTGCACAAGACAGTGGGATGCCACATATTAGTCTCATCCCTACTCAGTAAGTGGTTGGAAGCATGGCTTAAAGATGTGTGCTTCTCCATTACCTGCTTCCATATGATCACCAGGACAATCAGCGAAATTATTACAATCACTAGCAACACTAGAACGGCGGCAGCCACTGTCAGTTCTGATCGTAAAGCTGTATGGAAAAGGAAACACTTAGGTCAGATGTTTATTACCATTTAGTTCTAGTAGCTGCAATGGACTGATATGTTGTATCAAAGACAACAGGAAATCTCCTGTGGACCCCCATAGCATAAATGCCAAAACACATACTCCCCCAGAACCACCTTCTGAAATTGGCCATTCAATAGGAGTGAACTACGGGGACTGGGCGTTGTTCTATGGGGACTGGGCGTTGTTCTCATATAACCCCAGTTCTCCGTCAGCTCCACTGGCTCCTGATTGAAGTCCGGGCCCAATTCAAGGTGTTGGTTATGATGGCTTGGGACCTGGTTATCTAAAGGAACACTTGCACCCGTATATGCCCTCCCGCCCCTTGAGCTCAGCAGCAGATGCCCTCCTCCGGGAACCCTCTGTGAATGAGATTAGGAGGGTGAGCACCCGGAGAAAGGCTTTCTCTGCGGTGGCATCCCATCTATGGAATGCGCTCCCCAGAGAGGTCCACCTGGTGCCGTCGTTATTTGTTTTTCGGCACCAGGCTAAGACCTTTTTATTTAAAACTTATTTTAACTGTTAATTATTTATTAACTAGGGGTTTTGTTTTTTTTTAAATTAGCCAAGAATGCACTGGGGGGGTGTTATTTATGGTATAATTTAGTATTTATTTATTTTATTACTTCTGTATTTATTTATGTGTTGTGAGCCGCCCCGAGGCTTTGTTGCGATGGGGCGGCATAGAAATGTTTTAAATAAATAAATAAATAAATAAATAAAATAAACCACTGTAATGGAGTTCCTCCAACTCCCAGTCTAGTCTATCTAATTGTGTTAAGTTGGGTTTTGTTATGCACAGTTCCTTTGCTCTAAGTGCAACTGAACTCAGTGGGACTTACGTCTGGTTAGACATGCCTAGGACCGCACTTTAAATCTTAACTTTGGCTACATCATGTCCCTCTTTATTGAAATCTATCTATCATGTAATTACCAGCCGCTGTTTCCTGCCTTTCTTGAGATTAAAGACACATACGATACCAATACTTCCTCAGTGAAGAGACATTTCCCTGGGGTTTCAGAGATGGCTAAAGTTGTAGAAGCACAGATCTGAGGGGTGAGAATAAGCTCTTAATATGCCGTGGACTCTCCATCTGTTCCCTATACTCTAGTAATTGTTTTTGTAAGTTCGGTTTAGTTCCACTTGGGAGAGAAGAGAAGTTGCTTTGGTTGCCTTCTGTTATCACAAGTATGGCAAAAAGAATCTTTATAACAGTCTGGTGATTTAGAGTTCTATTGCACTGCACTCTTAAAGATTATGGGTTGCATCCATATTTAAGTCTTACTTAGACTAACTGAAATCAATGAGATATGGCTAACTGAAATTGCATTGATTTCACTGGATCTATTCTATGTAACACTAAATCTGTATCTACTCCCTCTTGTAAATCATGTAACGGCATGCTAGATACATCACGTAATATTGCATTTCTTTTCAATGTTGTGTGTATATTAAACATTTGGTACTACACTGGTTTTGCATGCATTAATTATTTCATGTTTGATTGGGTCTCTTCAAGAAGGCAGAGGTTAGGATTAGAGTCAGCTGCTGAGCTGATCATACACAAAATTAACTCACTTGGAGCCACAAGCTTCAGTTCCCGTGTGACAGTGCCAAGGTCATTTCTTGCCATACATCGCACAGCCAAAGTTTCTTCCACCTTCTGAAAATTCACCTGGCTTTCAATCACATCTTTTTCATCAAGATGAGTCTTCACAGTAATATGAGAAATATTGTTAGTTAGAAGGGTCCATGAGGTATCATTGCTGCATCTGGAGACAGGTGCAAACAAAATTAGGATGATTGTGCTAAATATTCCTAGTTATTCATTCCTAAATTTCTATTCCATCTTGGGTTTTTTTATTTTTCCTCTCCATTTTATCCTTACAGTAGCTTTGTGAGATAGATAAAGAGTCAAGGATTGGCTCAAAGTCACCCCAAGAGCTTGGTGGTTGGGTGTCTGTCCAACACTCTTACCAACACACCACACTAGCTTCTTAGTGAGAACTGTTTGTGTAACAAAACAAATATAGGTAGGTAAGGACAGAGTGCCTAAGCCAGCCTTCACCAACTGATGAAAGTCGCAGCCCAACTTGTGAAGGGCACTGGGCTGGTGAAGGTTGGCCTGAGTCATGTGAAGCTGAACGGAAAGTATTTCTATGGGAGTAGCCACTTGTGATCTACAACTTGTCTCCTTTCATGCCAAAATACTATTCTTGCCTTAGTTGCATGTGCTTTCAAATGAGTCTAACATTATTTGGGAAAATACTGTTAAACTGTTAGGGTTAACCCTAACTGAATCACATTACTGAGGTACATGGCTTAGACGAACTGAATTCAACAATTTTATTCACTTAAATCAGATTTCTAGCACCCCTTCCTCCATATCCAAAAATTACAAATAATCTATAAGCTCATGCATGTATAATGTCACTGTCAAACTGATCCTATTCAAAGACAACCCAAATCAAATGTTCTTACTTTTTAATGTCTTTGCAAACCAGCCATTCCACTTCAGGGAGGGGCGTCCCTTTTGCCAAACATCTGACTGTCTGCCCACCAGAGCCATGATGATTATCCACCAGGTCTCGTATTAAAGCAGGAACTGAAAAGGGACAGGTTTGAATGAGACCCTGGCCATATGGAAGACCTCCTTTCCATGAAAAACCCAACCATGTTTTCATGCTTTCTGCAAGGGGGCAGGAGTCATATCTGTGACTCTCCTTTCCAAGGGGTTTTCCAAGCCATGGATGTTTTCCCTTGGATCATAAGAATGCTTTCTTAGATGCAGGGCTGTAATTATCAAGTGTCTTCTACTTAACTCAGTGGAACTTAATTTTATCAAAGTGTATACAGGATTAGACTACTTACTGCATTCCTATGAACGCTTCCCTGAAAGTGTGGTTCACTGTGGTTTGTTTCTGAATAAATATGCATAAAATTGCACTGCAAGCCTTTGCACCATATTTATGGGAAACAAATTCATTGAATACATGGGTAGGATTAGGGGCTAGTTTGTCCTAGTTAGTAGGAATTGCTAATTCTTAATCTGGTGATCTGCAAATGACTACAGCTTCTAGCATTCCCAGCCTAAAAAACAAAACCCCCTAGCTCATATTCTGCCTTATGCCAGACTAGATGATCCTGGGACTGTCCACATGCAAAGCATATGCTCTGCTGCTAAGTATGAAAAGGGACTGAAGGCCAATGACATAACCTTCAACCATTTTGGTGCTGAAGTCAATTAGATGTGAGGTTGCTTGGAAAAGAAGCCCACTTAGAGGGAAAGCAGTATACAAGTTCAGTAAGTAAAATAACTGGTAGATAGTTACTGTATCAGCAACCCTGTGTGTGTGGGGGGGGGGGGGGGGGGAGCAGACATCTATATGAATTCCTTCCAAAATGCTTTTTAACAAAAACTGCTCAAGAATAGTCACCAAGGTAAGTTCTCTGCTCGATGCTCATTGTGTACTGAGTCTTTATCCCTTTAATGTACCCCTTCCTCTTTTCAAATTAAATCCATGTGGAAGGGACCATTTCTGACAGTCAGCCAGGCACAGCAGATGTTTAAGTATGTCAACATCTGGGGCTGAAATAATCTCCAAAATATCATCCATGGACAGCAGCAAGTGAGCAAGTTTGTTCCTAGGCAGTTTGTCATATTATTGACCCTAACTTTCAGAAGTATTATTCATACCATATGCTGTTCTTGAGAGAATGCAAATGCTGAGTACATTAATGAAGGGTGACCTTTATTTCTAAGGCTCAGAACTTAATGTACAAATTGTTATTTGTACCAAAAGCATACAATGTGACTGAAGCCATGGAAGAAATAATCTGATGCAAGCTATTTAGGCTGTGATCAGTTATCATTGGTCTATATCAGACTTCTACAACCTCTGGATGTGTGGAACTAGAATTTGCACGATTCCCTAGCCAGCCAGTGGCTTGCATAGCTGAACAGGGATTTGAACCCAGGTTTCCTTAATCTCTCATTCAATACTTTCCATATTTAGGAACCTGGATGTTCATTAGCGCCATACTGTCACTTCGCCTCCAAGTTCACTTATGAAATTTAATATTGGTATGATGGGGGGTTTTTTTACCGATTGTACAGGTGTACCTTGTATGAGCAGAGAGAAAGTATATCTTTGAATTTCATCTTCATTCTGTGCTACAAGAGTATACTCCCCACTGTCTTCTTCTTTGGCACGAATTAATTTTAATACACTCCAGTACCTATAAAAAGTAGACAAAATATTGGATTCATTTTGGTAAACAGTGCAACTATGTAATTACTAGCAGTAAGAACAGATGGCTTTATTAGAAACAAACGTGTGTACAAGGAAGGCTCACTGTAAGGAAACATCAATGTTGTAAAGTAGCTCCTCCGTCCAGTCCTGAGCACATTCAGAAAGGACAGGAAGTTAATACAGATCACTATGCTTTTAGATCAGTGCAACCAATAATAGCTGAATGCATTTAAATCCAACTGGAAGCAAAGAGATTTAAGTATGCAAATCCCGTTGTTTTCAGTGAAGCAGGGGAGTTTATCTAGCTTATGCAGCATGGAAAAAAAAGATGAATGTTTCAGTTTGCATGATGAGCTCCCTCCCTCTCTGGATCACAGCCCAGGAGTAAGCCCTACTGCATTCAGAGGAACCTACTTCTGAGTAGACATGCGTACAGTTCTGTTACACATCTTGTAATATAACTGAGATACAAGCAAGCACAGCATCTTATAATCTGTATAAAGCTGAAGAACAGTTTCAGAAGATAGGCGTCGGCTAGATAATTTTGAGATACTGGAAAGAATTGCACTTGATCACCCACGTGGAAGATTGCCATATAAAAGAAGTATCAGGTGCGAGAGCCAGAACTGGTTTTCATTGTAGTGGAAGAAGCACCAGGAGACTGAGCTGAGGAAAAGAAGGACAAGTAGTGAAGGTCCAAGTTCTAGAGAGGTTTTAAGGAGGAGGATGGCATTTTTACTGCACTGGAAGGGATGATGAAGTATTATGTAGAGAAAAAATAGGAACCTGATTTTTGCTGGGTTGTCTACTGTTTGAGATGCAACCAGAGATGTAATCAATGAGCCACAGTGGCTCTATTCTGTTCAACCAAGGACCGATGTTTATGAATGGTATTAATGACATGACAGAAGCAGAAAGAAAAAGTGCTCAAAGGAATAAGGACAATTTCACAGAAAGGTTTATGGATTGGAGCTTCTCCAAAGGAGGGAATGATCTGTGCAAATGGAGAATCACATGCCAAGACATCAACAGCTCCCTTTCAAATATTTTTGTTACCTCGTCTCCTGGATCTGCTTGGAGCTAGTGACAATCTCTGTGAGATTATCCATCAGAGTGACATTGTCCTTCAACCAAAACAGTTTGGGCTCTGGGTATGCATGCACATCAACTATAAAGTGTTTAACTTCATGCAAGTTTACAGCTTCCATGTGGTTGAAATGGGGCTCCAAATGAATGAATCCTTTATCTGTGGGAGGACAAAGGTTTCAATGAGTATCTTTCAGTGACAAACTGTCAGCAAGCTCAATTGGGAACAAGAAACTGACTCTACCATGAACTGTGATGGCCACCCTTTCAGATTCCTTGAAGTCTTTGGTCACATGTCGAGCTGCACATTCGTAATCTCCAGTGTCTTTCACTGAAGCATCTGGGATGGTCAAGTTGTAAACCAGCTTCTGGGTTGGAATTTTGATGTCCTCTAGTGAGATTAAGCCTTTGTTCTTCTGCATATGGAATGAAGCAGAACAACCCCCTTCATTAAACAAGCTACAGAAAATAATTAGACCCATTCTATATGTTTCTGCATACAACAAACCTCAGAGGAAATGCTACTCCAAATCCCATCTTTATTTATTGAAGCTCAGGTGAGTGGGACAAGGAGCAAGCTCTTTTCAAAGAGGGCTTATTCTTGAGGATTGTTTCTCCTAAGAGACTCTCCAGACCAGCTCCCATCTTAATTCTTGGAAATTAGCAAAGGTTTCTTTTTCCTTATCTCAACAAGTATTCAGAGGGTAAGTTGGACAATAGCTATGTTGCTCTCTTGAAACTGGTTTGAGTTGTAAATGTGATAGATGGTGATGATGAGGATGAAGTAAACTGGAATTCTGCTAGTCTAATAGGCTGAAACCAATGTTAGTTCTACTAGAACAGACACACAGAAATGACTGTGACTTAAGTTAGACTAACATTGGATACAACCAAATGTGTTTGTGTGGCTTCCCACTAAGCCATAATGGTGGGTATAAATCCAAGCAAGCAAGTGCATTGATCTTCATGCAACTGCACATGTGTCACTGTAGTTGGATATCCAGACTAGTGCCTGTGGGTCGTTCACTGGAAAGGAGGGGAATGGTTACCCCTTATTCATCATCCCAAATTTAAGTTCAAAGCTGTTGTGCCTATCTGATTGTGGTAGAGCACACACAACTCTGGTTAAGGGACTGGGATCCAAAACCATACGCCAAGTGAAATTCCTCATCTAGCCAGGGGTACAAACGCTGAAGGCTACTTTTTCATGTGGTCCCTAGCTGGAGCAGGGTAGATGTGCAAGAGTAGATCTCACTTCATTCAACAGAACCTGTAAGAATGCTTAGGTTTGCAGTCATGGATCCAAGGAAAAAGTATCTATATCACCTCCTGTATGTCAGAGGAAATCAATTACAGGATAAGTTTTATACTGTAAATGTAAGAAAGTAGCTTCTGAGAACTGGGGCTCAACCCTAGCTTTATATCGGTGTGAAACATAATGTCCATAATGTGAAAGAAATTTAGACAGAGACTTCTTTTACTTGGTTTTCTGCTTTGAAGAACTCTAGGGTGGACCCAGACTAAGTAAGTCATAATGTTCCTATTGAAATAATGGGACTGAAGTTAGTCACAACTGTCTTTTCACATTCACTTCAAATGAACTTCTTTAAGAGAGTGCCTGGGCTTATCCCTTCTTATCCTTGCAACGACTAAGAGGGATAAGCTACGAAATCAGTGCCAGCTAGGCCGGTTTGTGGCTTTGACCGGCGTTGAACCAAGATCTTCCTATTCCTAGTTTGACACTTTGAACTGGGATTGCACACTGGTTCTGAGTAAATGCTAGTGTGCTTTGCTGGTAGATTATGGCTTGAAGTCATAATGTTAGTGCTCTGCATCAAGAGTCCCATTTCCTGTCAACCTCATAAGTTACCGTCTCATAATATCTTGTAAAGCTCTGCATGTTCACTAACAATCAAGCCTTGATTTATGATACCAAGTTAGCACAAAAGAAGCTGGTCTCTTTTCATCTGGCTATATTCCATTTTCTAAAATAAATAAATACATAAACCCCACCCATGGTTTTCTTCGGTCAGCAACAAAGGTGGGTATTTACCATTTTCCCCGGATAATTCCACTCTAAGTTCACCACTTCATTATCCAAGACCACACAAGTTACAACAATGGTTTCGCCTGTTTTATACACTGTCTTGAGGGACTCAATCTCAACATGAAGATTTGAAGTAGCTGCAAGAAGAAAAGAAATTCAACATGTTTAAGAAACATTATACATGTTATACAATTTTTGAACAATTTCCACCAGTAATCTTTGAGGGGATCCTCTGCACCCAAGAGGCAACCCTATGCAAGTTTAGGGAGAAGAAAGGCCAGGGCTAGCTGGGGAATGCTGGGAGTTGTAGGATATCTTTCTGTATAAATGGGGTAGGAATTCTTAAAATAGGTCCATCTTAAGACAAGTCCATCAAAATTGATTGTGGTGCTTTCAGAAACAAGTGTTTAGCATTTGACATGATTCCTGTCCACCCTATGAGAGATAGCCAACATTTATTTTCCCTTTTGAAAAAAATATTTTATTTGCCCTTGTTGATTTTGTGAAGTCTAGTTTGTTGCCTTGTAAACTCCTTAACTTGCAAACCAATGTGGCTTTGCAAAATATAACTCTTATAATAAGCAACAGATGAATGCTGGGCTTCAGGAGAATATGGAGATCTAGCTATGAATAACAAGTTTGCAGAAGAGTAACAAGGCAAGAGCTCCTGCACAGGAATAGGTGAGAATCTTGATCACTTTGTGTTTTAATAAGGCATTCAAGATTTTGCATATATCTTCATAAATGTCATGGAAATCATTTGATATTTTCAAAATACTGATTAAGCAGAATGTGGAAGAACACGGAACATATTTATCCATCTACGCAATACTTAGCATTAGAAAGTGTGTTTGAATTCCTGTGCATTCAGCAATGTCAACGGGGATGCTCAATTAGGGTTCCCACCCCTCTTTTCTAATACGATCCTTCTATTTCACAACTACATAGCTGACATGTATGACTTGGCTCTCTTTCTTCTACACCAGTTGAATTCGGCTGGTGCAATTGCATGACAAGTTCATTGGGGCTGTTCTTGATGTGAGGGCCTTTTGCACATCTTTAGTGCTATGTCCCCTTTCGCCCTCCAGAGCACATAAAGAGACTCATGATTTGTCCCTCCCATTGAGAATATATATAAAGAAGTACCTTTGTAAACATAGATGAAAAATTCGGCAGACTGGAACTCTACTTCCTGAACCATGGTCTTGCACACATAAGAGCCTGCAGAGAAGTTTCCGATGAAGCCCTGTCTGTTGTCATAGAAGGCATACAAGACTTTGCCATCACTGTTCATGAGTGTTACTTGAGCATTAGGGTCGCTTGTACGGCAAGGGATGACAGAAGACCCGTCTTCCTCAGTTATGACAATAAACACATCTTCTGGGGATGTTGGAACAAAGGGGACTGTCGGATCTGTTGAGAGTTAGATATTTTGGTTTATCAACAGGGCTAGAAGAATACTTGTAAGATGGAACACCTTCCACATATCTCTATTTTAACCTTTTCTTGCCTGGGCAAGGTCATGTGAGATGCTTACATTCCTTTCCTAGCAGCCTTTAGCAGCTCATTTTCCCCAGATCTTTGGCACACCCACCAGGGCCAGCTCTACAGTTAGGCAGAGTGCTTCAGATGGCAGATGCTGGGGAGCTGGCAGCATGGCAGCAAGGAGTTTGGTGTGCCACACAGCTTGCACTCCACTCCCCTAAGCTCACCTGCTGCCTTCAGATGTTATAGATGTTGCAGGAAAGACTCAGCTGCTAGTCCAGTCATCTTTTGTACCTGAAATGATGTACATGTGCCATCTTGGCCTTCCTCCAAAATGTCTTGGGTTGGTCCTGGCATACACAGCATTCTCTCAAGGGAAAGCTGAGCAACACAGAGCACAGTGCAGAAGCTCCTGCAGAAGAATGTTCCTCCAGATGAAGCTACCTGGGGTGCAGAAGGAGGGCTGCTGGACCCTCTCAGCCGTGTTGGGGCATGTTTAGATCAGTAGCAGCTGGCCAGGGGATGGGACACTTAGAACACAGGTGTGAATGAGTAACTCTACACCTTGCTTTTCATGTGTAGTTCAGAGTCATAAATCTAAATCATTTTAGGCCTGAAGTCCTACCTTAATGAACTTACAAGAGAGTAAGCTTAATTGAAAACTGTGGGGCTTGCTTCAGAATAATCATATATTGGATTTATTTATTATTTAAAAGTGTTTAAACCTGTATTTTAGGATGTGATGCTTTCACAACATACCTTTCCCCATTGCAAAAACATTGAAATATTTCAATACAATTTGCAATCATGTACACAGTAGCAGTGGTAGCTATTTATTTTAAGTACTAAATATTCTAGTTAAATAGTATATTTAAATATTCTATTTGCAGTACACGCTAGAACATTTGTGTCTTAAGTGAGGGAGGGTTCCTTTCTTTTTTTAAAGCCAGCAGTGAGGAAGATTTATGTATCTCCCTGGGAAGAAAATTTCAAAAGTATGGGCCCACCACTGAGAAAGCTCTGTCTCTAGTACCTGCCAGCCTGAAGGCTGTTGTTGGTGGGCCAGGGAGCAGGATGCTATTGGAGGCCATTGGATGGAAAAATGACTATTGCAAGGACACAGCCTGGGTTAGCTTTTTGAACCATCCAGGGATGGATTCAGTAAATGCTTAGGGGGTTCAGGATGAGGGTGAGGAGTCTGGTGAACTAAGAAACAAATACTGAGCACAAAATAATTACAAACCTCTCTGACTCAAAATAACAAATGCTTGCATATCAAATTAAGACATGATACCAAAATGGGCAGACAAATATGCAATGGTTGGTAACCCTAGACAGGGTGTGAGGTTGCAGCCTTTGTTAAAAAGACATTAATTTCTTCGGGTTTTCAGAATTTATTAGTTGTATATAACCAGCTGGAGAAGAGGAGAGGTGCTCTGTGCCTCTAAGAGCTATGCAGAACAGAGAACATCAGCAGTTGTAGCTTTTCTCACCCCCCTCTGAAGGACAAGCCAGACTGGACATAATATTCTTCAAAATACTACAGGAACTGTGTCCTGTTTTCCCTAGAGTCATCTTAGCAGTAAGCAACAGCTCAAGAAATTATAAAGTATTACACAACAAGACAATAAATATGATGCCATTTAATCTGTCACACTTTTAAAAAATCCAGAAAAGCAAAGAGGAATTGCTGCTTTTCCAACTGAGGTTAAAGGTGCCTTTTGGTCACTCTGTGAATGTGATGGCAAAATGATGCAAACTATGGAAAAACAGAATTTTAAAACATTTGAATGGTAGCACCTAACAAGGGCCTAGTTCACACATAATGCTAATCTATGCTTTGGTTTATTGAGTTCTGAGCTGCTGCAGTGTAAGGCCATTATTGTACTAACAAATCATGGCTTGTTGTTCAGTTGTGAACTGTGTATGCTTTTTTAATCCATGAGTGGTTATTTACAAACCCAGAACTGTGGTTTGTTTCTCCAGGCTATAGAGGTGATGGGCAGTAGTCGTGAAAAAGGAACAAACACACACTACAACACAACAGAACCACAAAGGTATACAGGGAAGAACAGGGAAAGGAGGAAGAAAACAACCCATGGAAACAAAAAAAACCCACAGTTTTTTCACTTGTCAGACAGACAAACCTTGGATAGGTCAACCATGAGTTAAAAAAGATGGGTTAATGTTATATCTGAACTAGTACTTTGCTTCTTAAAAATTCCAATGGTTTGGTGACCATGTTTCTGCAAACCGGCACCTCCTTAATCATACACATTATCAAGGCTTCTCTCCGTCTGTACCACTAAAGTGTATCACATCTGGAGTCAATTTCTCAAGTGTGGCCTCCCTACAGTAGAAAACACTGGGTGTGGCATGTTTGGAAGGCAAAAATGTGAGCATTTGGAGATGGGCAATGCAGGAGGGTGCAACATATCCTTCAGACCAGGAAAAGATGAAAAAAAGATGTGCCTCTTCCAAAAATTATATGTCTCTTCCAAACACAGCAGCAGTTGATGTTTTCAATTCCAGATCAGAGACGACATATGGAAAATGTGCATCCTGCAATTCCAGAGGAGCACCAAAATGCTACAGAACAGGCTACAAAATTCCAGCACTAAGAACTGCATCTTTGTTCCTTCTCATGCCCCATCTCACCCCAAAAAGCACAATTTACTCTTTATGGTTGCAAATTTGTTCATGTTTTCATGTATTACAAAATCTGTGCAGCAAAAAGTGTTAGCATCTGCACAGGACAGTTTCTGCCGGTCATGGTAGGAAGAGACAAACGGCTAAATGGGGATACCTGAGCTATATTCCTGAGTGAAACAAATTTCCCTCTGCATCTTGAAGCTGCTCCTGGCACCATTCCTTTTTTCCAAATTCCCCAAGCAAGGACACTAAGTTAGGCAATGTAACATCATGCATTACCATTGCTCCCAGAGCCTTCTGGAAAAGAAACTGAAAGGCAACCACCAGGAAGGACTCTGGTGCATGTTTCAGCTGTTCTGCCCCACACTTCCCATTCCCCTGCCTGCCAAATTGAAAGGGAGTATGCAACCAGCCTTTCATCATCCACGAAATTTGAGGGGGCACATTCAGCAAATAGTAAAAATCTAGAATTGTGTGAACTAAAAGAAAGTAAGCAAAATTGTTCCATTTAAATTCATAGAGGTGACAGCTTTTCATATCACAAAACTGGGATGGGAAGGTTTGTCACAAAAGGTTTTTGTTTTTGTTTTCGATTTATATCCCGCCTTTTTCCTACAAAGGGCTCAAGGAAGCTTACATCTCCTCCTCCATCTTATCCCCACAACAACAACCCTGTGAGGTAGGTTGGGCTGAGAGTCTGTGACTGGCCCAAAGTCACCCAGTTGGCTCCATAGCGGAGCGGGGACTAGAACCCAGATCGTCTGAGTCCCAGTCCCATGCTCTTAAGCACTATACCACACAGGCTCAAATTTATTCATTTGTTTTCCTTCTAGGGCAGAGAACAAACAGCCTTGTTGATAGGCAGATTAAATTAAAGAGGGGAAAACCACATATTACAGTCTTCTGTAATTTTGTAGTAAAATAGTCTTATATTTAAAAATCCATTTCTTAGATTATTCAAACTTTTCTTGTACAAGTAAAGACATTTTGGCTGCAAGATCAAGATGGCTTCTATCAAGTATGATAGAGGGAAATTGCATCTATGGAAGGCAGAACCCAGCCAGCAAAAGAATTTGTAATGCACACTGTGAGAGCTTGTAACAATCACTCATATGTGGCAGCATAGAAACTTGCATTCCATAAACTCAGTGCATTCACTTTCTCCCACTAAGCGGGTCCTCATCGCCCCCCCCCCCCCTTTCCCTCCCGCAGTTCCTTTTGCTTGGAATTGATTCAGTGCAAGGACTTTAAAAGCATTCTGCTTTTAATAAAGAAAATGGTTTCCACCTGTGCTTTCCAAATTCTTACTGAGAAATTTATGGCTTCCTTAAAAATATACATTGTTCATGACAGAAAGAGACATTTTCATTAGATAATAAAGAACAAAAATAAACCATCTAAGATCTACAACTTGGGCAGCTTGTTCTTTGGTCCTTAGGGAAGTTCTCAAATAAGGGGGAGTTACCTCAGGACAAGGACAAATTCCATACTGGTGGGATTATAAGTCAAAGTATAAACACCCCCTCCAGCAATAATCAAAACAGTAGTCCGGGTATACCCTCTGGTTTTTAAAAGCAGGATGAGTGCTCTGCATGAGAGGATCAAGCTTCAGGTATCTCTGTCTATTATGCCAATCAATTAGGTGACTCAATTAGGTGACGGGGCTCAGGCTGAAGGGGAATGGAGAGAGTTGTGAAACAGCATTAGTTCATGTTCTGCAAGAAGTCTCCAAAGATCCAATAGGACATTTGCCCAATCTGTCCAAAACTTGGCTCCTCTGATGTCTTGGGGGCTCATGATAGTGGAATGTCCACAGCTTTCATGACATTTGCATGGAAAATGCTTTATCATGGAACAAGAGAAGTGCAGCCCTAACCCTTTTAAGTCAGCCTTCCCCAACCTGGTGCCCTTCAGAGGCATTTGGATCATATTTCCCAAAACTCCCATCCAGTAAGGCCATTAACTGGGAATTCTGGGTGTTGCAGTTGAAATGTTTCTGGAAGGCACATGGTTGGGGAAGGCTGCTTTAAAAATAATGGGAAACTTACAAAATTGCTTATAAAATGACATCCTTTTGGTAAATCTGTGTATACATTGGCAGGTATAATCCCATATGAAGGTGGTAGAACATTTGCTATTTTATTGTATTTATTATTTATTTATTAAAACATTTTTATGCCGCCCCATTCGCCGAAGCCTCGGGGCGGCTTACAACATTGTATTGTATTGTATTGTATTGTATTGTATTGTATTGTGAATTGGTTCGACTACACAAAACTTATAGGCATCGGGACATAGGCTGGGTCTCCACTGTTGAAACCCATGTAAAAATGAGTATAACACTAAAATAAACACAATAAATAATGTGGAATTAAACGAATGTAAATAAAATGTTGAAACTACACTAAGGTAGCCTTTAGAAATGAAAAGGAAACAAAAAAAGTACTGATAGTACTGATAAAGATACTTTGTAAGAGCACAAGATGGATTCTCTCATCCTGAAACCTTCTATGGCATGGTTTTGCACTGCAAACCAGGGAGCCTTGTGGATTCCTTGGAAAATCTATTGGATGTCTGACATACTTCCCTGGGAAATCATTTGTCTAACACCACTATCAATTTTCCTTTATGAGGCATAGCCACAAAGGACTTGAATATTCTTTAAGGTACACACAGAGTCATGGTAAGGCCCACTAGGTTCTAGACAATGTGAACTGAATTAACTGCAGTATAGAAGAAATGCAGGGGTTGGATAATACTTGAAAATCCAGATCTAGAAAGGGAGTTGAATTGCATTAAGTATAGGGTGGAATCTTGCTAGATCCTTCTGCCAATGGAAGATTTCCTGTAGCACAATGAGTAGGGCATAATTTGGTGATTTGCCCTCTTCTCTGCAGGCCTTCAAATTTTCTCTGGAAGGTTCAGAGCAAGTTTTGGAGGGTGGAGGATGAAGCAGAGAGACGTAATCTTGCAAAATCATCCTTCCCCATTCTGCTTACAGAAAACTTCTGCTGGTGGAGGGTACTAGTTCAATTTCGCCCATAATTCTTAAAATTGTGAATGTTGATTTGCTCAGAGAACCACAAATACAAACTTGGGTTTTTACATCAGCTCTCCACCTGAGGTCCCTCGTGGCAGTCTCCCATGTATACAGTGAAATAAGTCAACTCACCTGGCACATAGATGTAGATGTCCTTCCCCTCAACCTCACTATCCTCTTCTTGAGAATGATTGTAATAACACGTATACAATCCAGTGTGAGAAGCAGAAGCATTTGCCACTTCAAGCACAGTCACAAAAAAGCCACTGTTGTTCTCTTCGCTTCTGATGTCTATGGTGTGGTTGCCTTCAGCTACTGGGTATTGCCAGCTTACTTCACTGTCTCCAAAGCATTTCAGAGTGAAGGGGGAATTCAGCTGCACCACCATTTCATCTTTCTTGGGAATAATTGTGGGAAGTAAGGACTGGCAAGAGGCTAGCCATGGCCCTGTGAAGAAGGAAGACCAGCATGTTACCAGAAGGAACATTTAACTTCATTTTGGGGGAAGAAATGGCTACCAGTTCATTCTGAACACTGGCCTTTTCCACGGATAGGCTACAGTCATGTCTGTAGTATTCATTCATTCATTCACTCATTCAACTAATATTCAACTTACAGTCTGCTATACTAGTCCAAAGACTCTCTAAGTGAATTACAGTAGCACATAAAATAACAATAATAAAAACAACATACAATAAAACAGAGAAATACACAGCGGAGTAGCACCTGCTTTTGAGACAACTGAGAGTCATCAGATAGTGGAGGTGAGAAACCTAGCTTGGTCATCATGAGACTTAGGTTAAAGACTCAAATTCCTTTTCTACGATTCAGCACATGAATTCCTCTAAAGATTAGTTCTTCTAAAAAATACCATCAAATCATGTTGTTGACTACCAAGAAAGCCCCCCGGTGGTGGACGTGTGAGGGCAGGTGAGGCTTCGCATAACAAGGAGAAAGCCTCACACATGAGATTCTTGTATCTGGATGTATGAATGGATGGATGGATAGATGGAAGGCTACAGTGGACCAATTGGACTAAGGCAGACTTTTAGGGTAGACTTGTGCAAACCTGAAATGGGTTTTGTCCTGGTGGCTTAATTTGGCTTATAAGCCATCCTGACAATCATATTTAACCTCCATCCATGAGGCCTTTTGAATCATAAAGGGTTGCCATTTCATTTGAACCTAGCTCAAACCAAGCTCAGCTACAGGACAGATGTTTGGCTTGTGCTACTGACAGCACCTCCAAAGTGCCCAATTGGCACTGCAGCTGCCAGGAGCTTCCTCTGCTCCACGCTGTGCTCCGAAAAGGCCTTGCCACAGTGCTAGACAGTGCAGGCTGCTGCAACCGACTTGCAAGTCAGCTGTAACAGTCTGTGGTCCTCTGTTGCCTATTGCTGCAATGAGTCCCGAAAAGGGTTCAACATGGTGGCAGGTGGCCCAGAGCACTGCAACCAACTTGTACATCACTCCTCCCACTGCCCTCCCGCTCCCCACTGCCAGTGTTTTCAAAGACAGAGATCACTCTGGTTGGCTTCATAGCTGGACACAGTGATGGATGGTGGTAGGAACTTCGATGTGGACTGCAGTAGGGAGGGGAGCAAGAACTTTCGAGTAGAGAACTCAGGTGCATGGCCTGTGCTGTAGTGTGAGTTACTGCTTTCTGTAAATCCTGCCTCCCTCTCCCTCTCCCATGTCCCATTCTGTTTTGTTTTTATCAACCTCCAATTAAGTTTGGTTTTGCCTTAGGCTGCTTGTATGTTACTGGACTCTGGTGAGTTGGAGTATAAAACAATTTTTCTAGAAAAGAGGCTGAGCCACAGTACAAGAAGGGAAGAAGAGAGCAAGGAAGCTCAGAACTTGATGGTGGATGTAGCTCACTGCACGCTGTAATTTGGTAATTGCTTGCTTATTTCTACACATGCCTCTTCCACCAACTCCTGCCTGACCAACCCTGAACTCTGCTTCACCTACTGGTTCCTTGCAGAGCACCATTTGGCTCCAAAGGAAGCACCAAGTGAAGTCATGGATGGAGGTTAAATATAATGGTGAATTTGAATGCAGTTGTGAGGTTAAATATGATTGTGAGTCTTCTGGAGCTGGATGCCCACTGCAATGTTTACTTCATGTAGTTTTGAACTATTCAGAAAGAACACTTGTATACATCTTTTCCTGGGAACAGTTTACAGTTTTTACCAAATGTGGCTTTTCAGTTTATTTAAACTTTTAAAAAATAGTATTGCAAATAACCCATTCTAAAACATGTACATAGCAGTGTGGCCCAATGTAGCAAGTTATATGTCAGTTGAGTTTTTTATAAATTAAGTGTCTGGATGATAATGATGATAACGATTATGATAATGATAGAACTTTTATGTTTCATGTTTGTGGATTCTTGTTCTTCCTATGCCGTGAGCTGCAAAACTGGACCCAGCTATGCCTTCTTCCCCATTGCTTCTTGCTGCTCACACCCAAGAAATCTACCAGCATTATGTACTATTCACAGGTCAAGGGCCTAGAACTCATAACTAATTTAACCCCTGGACCAAGCTTCAGTTATCATCTTTCCCTTTCCCTAAGCAAGCCAGTGGTAATTCTCCTGCCATGGCCAGCAAAGCTTAAGAATTCTGGATAATCCAGATTGTGTTTATTTTTCCCTGTGAGTTTGAACCAGCATGATAACACCTTTGAGAACTTGTTCACATATTTACTTTTCTGGGATGAGAAATGATGGAATATGATGAGAGAAATCGGATCATCCTTGTGACATCAGACTTCTTTGAAATCAGATTGTCTCAGCATTCTGAGAACGGCCAAGAACATACATCTATTTCTGATGGTTTTTTCGTGTTCAATCTCACAATACATCAGTGAGCATAAATTCACTCAGAATACTTTGCCTTAACCAGTCTCAGGATGAAACCAGCTGCTTTCCCTGCTGAGGAATGTTGGGCTTGGCAAAACAAATCCAAAGGAAGAAGAATTTACCTGTCAAGAGGCAGCCCAGGATAAGAAATGGCCTTTGGGACGGACCCATAGTGATGGTCAGCTGAAACCAGAACAGGAAATAAAGAAAAGACATGATTAGTGAGTGAATGTATAGAAAATGACAACAGCCCATCTGCAATGCACATTAACACCTCAGAAATATGCGCTGCTGACATGAATGGTTCCATGCTGTCAGGAATGACAAATAGCCCAGGGTATCTCCTACTTTGGCCTGTTCGAATCCATATTACCACTCAACAGGGATGCCATCTGGCAAGAGCACACAGTGTCTTGGACGACATCAGATCAGTACATGTATGCCTGGTTGCTGTGGCGTTTCCAAGGATGGCTGCAACAAAAGGCCTCACGGCACGTTCTCATGCACACAGAGCCAGAAAACACATTTCTGCTGAGTTCAGTGTTGGGTGAGCACTTACACACCAAACACGAGGAAATCTCCACCGGCAAAAAGCACAGAAGAGGATATGAATCTACCTAAAATGTGCATGTGTTATACGTATAGATGCATTTTTGGAAATAATGATTATAAATTAAAATGCAATGCAGCAAGCAACACTGGGGACAGTTGGGATGGGATGACCTGCATGCTTGCTCAGTCCAAGTACTAACTGCTGGTGGTCCAATTCAAGGCAGGGCTGGCAACAGGACTCGGAAGCCCGGTGCGAGGTGGCTTGTGCCTCACTCCTGGTTCCCCACCTCACCCCACTGCCAATGCTTCTACATTATTCTACTTGCCCAGCTTCTGCAGGGCAGGGCAGCAAATGATAGCTCCTGGGAATGTCCACTTTCGGCAGCTACCATACCTGCTCTGCTCCTTGCTCCCAACTGTCCCTCGAGGTGCCATTGGCAGGACTCAAGGAGAAAGTGGGGCAGGAGGTGGCTCAGGGCCCTACTGTGCCTGATTATTAGCTGGACACAACTAAATTTTAAGCCTCAAGTGGGTATAAAACCCAGCCTGGAATTAAAGTATCATCCAAACCTGCCCATTGCTGAACCCAGCCATGTGCTTTGTTAACCAGACACAAACCATGGTGGCTGGGTTCAGACAGCACAACAAGCCAACATGGCTTATTTGCTTTATGAACCCAATCACTGATATCCCCAGTTTTCAATATTGTGAACTTTCACAATATGCTAAAAGTGCCTTGGGAAATGCCAGCTTTTGAAATGTCATGTTTGAACGAAGTCTTGGAGGAGAGGGTGAGAAACGGTAGTATAGAATTTGGGAAGGGAGGAAAAGAGCAGAAAATGATACCCAGTTGTTGATAAACTTTTTCCCAGACACAGAACCCATTTAGTGATGTGCGCCTCCAAAATTCCTTTCTTAGCATTCAGAATGTTAACCACCTGCTGAAAGAATTTCTTATGAAAACAGACCAAAATAAATGCAGTCCTTATTTTGACCCAGCTCTGTTCAAGGATAAATCCCTGAGCTGCAATCCCTGATTTTTAAGGCTGCAGTCCTTTGCACACATACACTTACATATACACACCTGAGAGTAAGAGCTGCTGGACACCACTGGATTACTCAGTTCTAATGTCACCATGCATGTGTTCTCCATTAACAGTGGGGGAGAGACAAGGGGAGGCAGAAGAGGAGCAATCATTCTTTGCTGAAGTTTTCACTAATGTGATTTTGTTAATATTTTAACTGCATTTCCATTAGGAAACAAAAATGCCCTTGATTAATCTTGCTATACCCCTGAGGGAACATAAGACTGCGCTCCTGTTTAGTTCCTGCTTTATATTCTACATTGCATTAAAGCCATTGTTGCATTGCCTTTTCAATTTTGCAGAGCAAATTGACAGACGTTTATAACCAATAACCTTTGCTTCTAGGTCCCACATGTTATTTACTGTTTAGGGAAGACTTTCCCAAGTTTACGCCTCCAGTTGTTGTTGGACTACACCTTCCATCATCCAGAGAATACATGGCTGCTGTTGAAAGATGATGGGAGTTATAGTCCAAAAACATCTGGAGGCCTAAGGTTGAAAAAAGCTTAAACATGGTGATGACACTGTATGGTGCCTTAGATCAGTCTAAAAGGTAAGCATCTAAATCTCTTTGTGAGCAAAGTTTTTCTTGAAGCCATGGGAGAGCCTTGGAGCTGACTGGTGGGGGCTCTGGATCCTGCAAAACAAAATGAGGTACACAGCCACAGGACCACTGATTTCTAGCAAGCGGGTGTGAATCTGTGGTTAAATTGTGCACAGAGTGCACACCAGTGTGTGATGAGATGAGCTGCCCCTGAAACAAATAGGGCCTCAAACATCTCCCTCTTCTAGAAGGAACTCATTGCTCAGCGGTAGGCATGGATTCTTTCCATGCACACTTTCCTGGATCATTCGCTGCTATCTCCAGATATAAAGCTCCAGTCACAGGGCATGGGATGAACCTCTCCCTTTGGGTTCCTGCAGACCCAGCGAGCTGGGAGGATAAAGAGTCTGGGCTGATAACAGCATTCTTTATTCCTCAGAATTCTCTTCTGCAAATCCTAGGGTTAGATTTCAGCAGGTAATTGTTGCCAGATATTTAATGTCATCCAAGTAAGTGGTTGCAGTAAATGGTTTTGATTGTATTTAATACAAGGGTGAGCTCCATGCAACCCATGGGCTGTAGGTGGCTTGCTCTGACCGTTTTTTGTGGCTCTTCCTTACCACTGCACCACTGAAATTCAGCAACAGCCCTGAAAGCAGTGCTTGTACTTTAAACACAGTGCACAGAAACTGCATGATTTGCTTTCAGCCAGATTCTCCTCCCAGAAACATCCCAGGACTGCAATTTTGCGTGATAATGTGGTGCATGCTGTCCATGTACCTCATTTTAAAGGAAAATGGTGGCACTGCAGTGGGACAGCTTCTTTGTCCCTGCAAGTTGCCCTATTTTGATCTAAAAGGTGAGATGGCAAGTCCAGATTTCATGTTTGAGACTCGCCATAAACTACATCACTGGGAAGCGAAAGCATTCCTGTTTCAAACAGGAATAGATTCACATTTAGACAATCCAAAACATTTCAACTATATTATGATGTATTTATTAAGTTGTTTTATATTGTAAGCCATCCAGAGATGAACTGTAATGGACAGATTAGAAATACCCTTAATTAATAAATAAATGGACAGGTTAGAAATACCCCTAATGAACGAACAAACAAATATATCATCCCATTTTGAGTTTTGTTGGGATTGACGCTGAAATGGAAAGGGTAGACACTGGGCCCATGCTGGCCCCAAAGCCTTCAATGTGTTTTAAACTCACATGTTTTTCCCTTGCCTGAGATCTCCTTGCAACTTGTGCCCTTCCAGATGTTGGTCTGTAACTCCCATTATCCCCAGAGAGCATGATGCATGGGGAAGGATGATGGGAGTTGATAGGACAGAACATTTCTTAAGCCACAATAAACACCGAGCTTATGTAGGCAGAATACACTGTCTTGTAACTTAGGAGCACGGTAGCAGCAGCGACAGCAGTAATAGTAGCATTACACTGCATTTATATCCCATCGTTTGTCCTCTTGCAGGGAACCCAAGGCAGCTTACATGGGCCTTCTCTTCATTGCATCCTCACAACACCATCACTGGGGAGCATTAAACCAGTGTAACAGATGACCAGAGGCCACTGAGAGATGCTGCGCTTCCACTGGGCCTGGCCTTTCTGTACGTGGAAATGAATCACAGCCTTCATTCCACCAGCAAGAATGACAAATGGCTGGCTAGCAAGCAGGCACACACACACACACACCTCCAGAAATTCAGCAGATGGCATTCCTGCAGGAACAAGTCATTTGCTGTGGTTTTTCAATTAGCAATAATGGCCATGTGTTTATGTAAGTGCCTCATACTGATAACAGGCTCTTGGACATCAAAGTCATCTTCCCTTCCAGCCTTCTCTCCCTTCGCCCCAGCCCCCTTTTTATCATACCAGCTCTATCCTGTATTTTTTCTAGATAAAGAACCCACAGTGCACACATCTTTAAAGAATTCCTATACTCATCTTTGGTTAGTCGGCCTCTAATGCTTCTCACTGCCTCTGCCATCTGTGCTTGCAGGACAGTTCTATAGGTTTTCTCAGAAGGAAGACCTACTTACTCTTTAGAAGTCAGTCTTTTAGAACCCATTGATCAATTAAAAATAAGAAAAGGCTGGAGAAATGCAAAAATAAAAGGATAGCGTGATGATCTGCAAGGGCTCAACATTTTGGGATAAAGTGTTTATAACAGTCCCTCTGTCTCCAACGTTCAAGGCAGGGGTGCCTTGGCTTGCATAGCCAAAACAGCATTACCCATGCACGGCATGGATGTGCCAACAGGCTTTGGGGTAACCCTGAAATGTGCAGAACTAACAACAAACAAAATCAGAAGCAGGGAAACTGTTAGGGAAGGTTGCCTCCAAAGAGCCAATGAAGGCTGAGTGGTCCAAGTGGCCACAGTCTGCTGGAGAGAACACCAAGGAGGTGTGGGGAACAATATGGAACGGCAGCTGGAATCCTGAACAGGGAGCGGATGGTTCTTCTTTGTTTAGCATAAGCCTTACTTGGAAACCCCTCACAAGAATCCTTGTACTGACCCAGAGTATGTGGAGAGTAGAGGTGATGATCACATATCAGAAGGCACTGCAGTGTTTTAACTTAGAGAGGAAGAAAATGCTTGGGAGTAAGAGTTTGTGAAAATGGGAATGATCCTATGCATTGCTGGATGAAGTATGCTGGGAATAGTAAGCCTTTCCTGACTATACACGCATAGGATTGTGCCTCTAAAGTTTGTGATATGCAGTGCAATCCTGTGCATATTTTTCAGAAGCAAGCCCTCAAGTATGCATGCATAGGGACTGTAACCCCAATTTTACTGTTCTCATCCCCCTATTGCCTTGTAATCCCATATAAACACAGCATGCTATTTCAGCCTGATTAAAATCAGTCAGCTCTAACCCAGTTGATGAATTTATTTGCTCATTCAGCTAAAAGCTATGATGCTCCTTGTTCATTTTTTTTCCAATTACAAAGAAAGAAAACATTGTTTGGCTTATAGCCAGAATTCATAT